TCAGCAACCACCGAACTTTTGGTGCCTTATTTGTTTTGATATTTGATTATGAGAGATAGCTGAAGGATAATTAATAAATGATTTTAAAGATAATGCACCAGAATTTGTGGCCGTATGGCGGTTAAAACGTCCAAAAACACTGATTTAGGTCAATTTTAGACCTTGCTTGACGATGTCAACCCATTGAGCATTGAGATCGTTGCTCTGCTTCGCAGAGCAACGATCGACGATGCGAAGCAAGAATGCTAGTTCGCGCGGCGCGTCGAAGCTTGCTCTAACCAGAGCCCTCTCGCTTGCAGTAGCGCGCGACCGCCGGAGGCACATGGCTATGTGAAGACCTTTATTAACCATGCTGGATGCAACAAAGGACTCAGCAATGTTTCTGTGTATATAAATGAGCTGTTAGTTATATCTAAATAATGCAGCATGGCCAGCTATAGCTTTACAAAGTTAATATATGCTCTAAAAATGGTTAATTAGTGCAAATATAGTGTATTTTCAAGACATTTTAACCACCTTAGCTTTGACGGATGTTATTCGTCTAAATTTCTTCGAAGTAGCGCGCGCCGATTTCTTCTCGATGGCAAGTGCTACGAAGTAGCGCGCGCCGGGCCAGATCATTAACAATGGTCAACCTTAGCTGCACATTGATCGGAATGCATAAACTTCGAGTCAATTGTGCATTTGCAAACTCTCTCTCTCTCTCTCTGTTTCTGGCCTCTTACTAAAATGATGGAGGCCTTATCACCGTGCCCACAGAACGCAACTCCTGCTAGCTGCACGCCAGGACTCCCAAAGTATATACGAAATCATAAAATAATATATATCAATGCAACAGACCCCTGGAGTCTTGAAGCTGTCACTACCTGTCTCAGAGCAAACCCACTTCCGTTGTAATACTTCTGCGGGCAGACAAGGGACTTCCGAGCAAGGTCAAAGCCTGGGAGATATGTCTCTATGGGCCTAGGTTGAGTTCCTAGTATGGGATTTAGCGAAAGTTCCTGGTGAAGAATCCTAGGAGGTTACCCAAAAGGGTTTTCCCTATCCAGTCTTGTCGACTGTTCCACAAATTTGAAGATATGATTGTAGTTTACTGTTGTTAAGGTAGAGTTTACCAATTATCCTCATTCTGAACGTCATGATCTGGATGCACTGGCAGAGGAGGTCCTGGGATGTTTCTGCTTATCCTGAAAAGTGTTCACAATCTTGCGTCTCGAATTTGACGTTGTTTACCACGTTCTGAAAATAAACTAGTGGGCTGTGACCTATCCTGAAAGCGACCATGTTAGCCATCTGATGTGAGTTCCAGAAAAATTAAAGTTCCTGTATTTATATTTGTTGAGGAACATCTCAAGTGGAATGTTCCTCTGTCACTGAGTGTGGCCTAATTGGGAGGAAGGGTTCTGGTCCTATGGGGATGTTGTTGCATTGATCTTTCATTGTTCTTTACCGTGTACTCCTTCATGTCCTGGAACGAAGTTCTACTCGATGAGAATACCTAGTGAGTTGAGTTGGTCTGAGATGTTCAGATCGAACCTGGAGTTAAAACTGGTGCTGTTAAGCGCTTTAAATGCAGCCTGGGAATCTGAGAGGAATTTATGATTGATGGAGATCCTAAGATATCATTTGTCCAGATACTTGCCATGTGTAACGCAAATAGCGGGTACGATTTCCTCAATGAACCTGAAGAAGGAATATCTGTCCTGAATTGATACCATGTAACGTCGAGCTAAAAAATGAATCAAAAGTTCGAGTAAATCGTTAAACGTTGTATGTCCTATTTGCATCCCCTAAGCATTGCATTGATGTTTATTCCTGGCCCAGTTAGCTTTGCTTCTCAGAACTAAAGAGGTCCACTATGCTTTGGTGAGCTATGCTGTCCACCAGGGTACTGTAGATCTAAGGGTTCCCCGTGTAATGGGGCAGGCTGTGATAAAGCATCTCTGCAGGATGTCCGAGATGAACTGTTTTCGAGTGTTGAGAACTTCCGCTGTAGAAACTGAATAGAACCAGTAAGAGTGTCAGTCAAACTCTGCTGCTACTAGATGATTGTAGAGCGTCCAGTCACACTTCAATAAAGAGTGTGCCAAAGCTAACCCGGTCCCCTGAAAAGTGGTTACTGGAGGAAGAAGTGCCAGGAATTCTCGCTATCAGTGTGTCCTCGTAGTCAGAGTTGAAATACCTAATTCTGTCTTATCACGAGCCTGTGTCTAGCGTGTGTCAGCCCTTACGCATTAGCTGTCTTAACTGAAAAGACCTGAAAAGTGGTTACTGGAGGGAGAAGTGCCAAGACTACTCATTATCAGTGTGTCCTTGTAGTCAGGATGAGCGAATTAAAATCCCTAGCTCTGTGGTGGGTGACTTCGATGGGACCTGAAAGCTGAAATAGAATTTCCTGGTGATTTAATAGCTCTTAGAGCTAGGTATCTGTGTCTAACATATCGTCATTTGTGTGTGTACTATCTTGTAACCTGATATCTGAAAGAGAAATTTCCTGGTGCTTGGTAGCTGTTAGTGTTGACTTCCTGGTTCCTTTGGGAACTGTGAGTTGGCAAGTCCCAACCTTTGTACTCAACAAGAGAGCACACCACCCGTTAGTGCCAACCAGGCCACACTACGTGGAGGTTCGGAGAGGATTTTACTTTAATAGATCTATGCCTTGTTCAACAGCCTAGCAAGTCATATAGCCCTTTTAACCACTTTTATGACAACATTTCTTGATAACTTTTATCAAAACCCTTCAAATGTCCTTTGTTGACCAGAAAAATTTGACTAAAATCATTAATATTGTTTTGATTGGTGGTTAACAAAATATTTTGATGTTTTAACCATCTTTTTACCACTTTTTACGAATATTAACCACTTAAAATTAACCATACTATTAAATTGCACATTTGTGATGAAAAATTATCATCCATGTACAAATGAACAACCACCACTATACATCTATAACCAGAGCAATATTTATTGCTCATTCTCATCTTCCATTTAACCACCATTAGGACCACAAAATGCCCCCAATGAGGGTTTTAAACTTTTGTTAATAGTTGCACCATGGGATGATCTACTCAGTTCATAATATCATATCTCAAAATGGTGGTTAAACCTAAAACTGGTATTTTAACCACCATAGTGGCCACATAGAGGATTCATTAACCTCAATTATTAAACATAACTGTACTGCAGTGTTTTGTGCACCAGAAAAACATCACTCCAACATTGAGATTAACCACAATAATCTGCAATATCATGTTGAAGTCAACATACACAAATTTTGTGAAAAAAGTCAATGTCCACCAAGTTTCCCCAGATTTGCTGCTATTGCTGGAGTCTAACAAGTTACATATAAATGCAGGGAAAAGTTGTTATATGCATTTTCAGCCAGGTTTGTCAAGAGCAACACAGACCTGTGCTAGAACACGGCCCTTTAACAGGAATCTAACGATTTCAATAGATGGCAAAAAGCTATAAAAAGTTCAATGTACAAAGTTTCTTGGGGTGATAATAGACGAACAGCTAAGTTGGGAACCACATCTTAATCATTTATCTTTAAAGCTGAACTCCAGTATTGTATTGATTAAGAGAATTTGCAAATTCATTCCCAAATCTGAATATTTGAAACTAAACTTTTTATGTCACATCTTAGCTATTGTATAATAAAACAAATATTTAATAAAACAAATATTTATTTTTACGGCACAATCAAACAATTATATCAATAATAAATAAATCAGGGGAGATTTGAAGAGGTTTCAAGTGCCGAAGGCCACTGCTTATCTTTAGGATTTGAGAGTGACCTGTGCTTGAAACCCCCTTAACCATTTACTACGTCAATATACTTATTATACAAATATAGAAAAATATAATTATCTAAAATTGCTTATTGGTCTAGTTTGGTGACACAGGAGAGCCCAGTTGAGTTTTAGTTTCGGTTTAGGTTTTAAATCATAGTTTAAAAGGTTAGCCATGTTTCATGGCAGAGAGAGATATCATGTGTGCAGAGCCGTACCGGATGTAGAATTTGAGATACAATATAGATTAGTTACCATGTATTAGGGTCATCTCGATGTTGAAGGGATAGCAAGTGCTTTTTAAGGTTAGATTTAATAATACCTGACGAGGCTGATAAGTCTGAATTTTTGGAAGAACCCGGGATTATTATCCCATCTTTATTAGCATCACATATTTCGAATACATAGGGGATGAGATCGTTCCAAATTTTTGTAGAGGTGTACAAAAAGTTCTGTTGGGAGATATCTAACCTCAGTAATGGGACAATCAGACGAAGTTTTTCATTTCTAGGACAGAACTTGAAAAGATCTTTAATCGAATGGGGGACTCAAATTTTTAGAAGTAATACCGATATTTCAGTCATTTTAAACGTTTTTTTTGCTGATTTTTTTACTGAACATTATTTACAATCCGTACAAGTAATCCTTTAAAGGATTTGTAATTCAACAATAAATGACGAAGTTACAGACCAAACAAGGTCGAGAGAGGCAATATTGAAATTTTTGCAAAAAATCAAAGTTGTTTATTTATACTAAGTCGTTTGAGGCCACATTTCATACCTTAAAACTCATAATTGAGAGAAATCCTGTTCAAAAAGTTGGATATGATTATCAGCTACACTCACAAGAATTTTTGAAGCGATATCTTATGACCTGGGTGATTGGTAAAATATACCCAGTTATAAAATCCTTTTAAGGATTACTTGTACGGATTGTAAATAATGTTCAGTAAAAAAATCAGCCAAAAAACGTTTAAAATGACTGAAATATTGGTATTACAGTGACAGACTTCTCAAAATTTCCAAAACTTTCGAAAAAGAAAATAATTTTTTTTCAAATGTGCGTACTCTCAAAAAAATTTTTCAATGCCTCAAATCTTACAGTCGTTATCTATACTTTCATAATATGAAGTCAAATCCCGGGTCCCAGAAAAAAAGGTTTTGGTGTATGTCCCCTTAAATCCCACAAGCTCACGGTCCCACACTATGTAGCTAGAGAGATGTGTGATATGACAGAAGACGATTTTGAGGTTCCTATCAAGGGTGTTATTGTAGGAAATGGAGCTGTCGGCAAAAGCTCTATGATTCAGGTAAAGCTATATGATTCAGGTAAAGCTCTATGATTCAGGTAAAGCTCTATGATTCAGGTAAAGCTCTAAGATTCAGCCTTCAGGTAAAGCTCTATGATTCAGGTAAAGCTCTATGATTCAGGTAAAGCTCTATGATTCAGGTAAAGCTCTATGATTCAGGTAAAGCTCTATGATGCAGGTAAAGCTCTATGATTCAGGTAAAGCTCTATGATTCAGGTAAAGCTCTATGATTCAGGTAAAGCTCTATGATTCAGGTAAAGCTCTATGATTCAGGTAAAGCTCTATGATTCAGGTAAAGCTCTAAGATTCAGGTAAAGCTCTATGATTCAGGTAAAGCTCTATGATTCAGGTAAAGCTCTATGATTCAGGTAAAGCTCTATGATTCAGGTAAAGCTCTATGATGCAGGTAAAGCTCTATGATTCAGGTAAAGCTCTATGATTCAGGTAAAGCTCTATGATTCAGGTAAAGCTCTATGATTCAGGTAAAGCTCTATGATTCAGGTAAAGCTCTATGATTCAGGTAAAGCTCTATGATGCAGGTAAAGCTCTATGATTCAGGTAAAGCTCTATGATTCAGGTAAAGCTCTATGATTCAGGTAAGGCAATCAGGAAATGTCGTTTTAAACTGCTCAAACCAACTTTTCTATATCTTCATCAAGTGAGGCCTTGACATGAATTAAAATTTGCCACTTCTGAATCGGACTTCCTCGTTGGAAAGAAAAGTTTAGCTCTAATCAGGATCACATGATGTATTATTATTTTTATTTTATTGTAATGTACTCCTTCAGCGATACTGCAAAGGAATTTTCACATCAGAATATAAAAAGACGATCGGGGTAGACTTTTTAGAACGACAATTAAGGTAATTTCATATTTTTCTTTTAATGATTTCGAAACAACAATAACTGTTGTGAAAAAGTGGAATTTCTAGACTAATTTACTGTCCTGTACTTTCATATTCTCCACTGTTATACTGCACTCAGCACTGTTACACTTCACTGTTACACTTCACTGTTACACTTCACTGTTACACTGCACTGTTACACTGCACTGTTATACTTCACTGTTATACTTCACTGTTACACTTCACTGTTACACTGCACTGTTACACTGCACTGTTACACTGCACTGTTAAACTGCACTTTTACACTACACTGTTACACTGCACTGTTACACTGCACTGTTATACTTCACTGTTATACTTCACTGATATACTGCACTTTTACACTACACTGTTACACTGCACTGTTACACTGCAGTGTAACACTGCACTGTTACACTGCACTGTTACACTGCACTGTTACACTGCACTGTTACACTGCATTGTTACACTGTACTGTTACACTGCACTGTTACTCTGTACTGTTACACTGCACTGTTACACTGCACTGTTACACTGCACTGTTACACTGCACTGTTACACTGCACTGTTACACTGCACTGTTACACTGCAATGTTACACTGCACTGTTATACTGCACTGTTATACTGCACTGTTACACTGCACTGTTACACTGCACTGTTACGCCGCACTGTTACACTGCAATGTTACACTGCACTGTTATATTGCACTGTTACACTGCACTGTTACACTGCACTGTTACACTGCACTGTTACACTGCACTGTTACACTGCACTGTTACACTGCACTGTTACACTGCACTGTTACACTGCAATGTTACACTGCACTGTTATACTGCACTGTTATACTGCACTGTTACACTGCACTGTTACACTGCACTGTTACACCGCACTGTTACACTGCAATGTTACACTGCACTGTTATATTGCACTGTTACACTGCACTGTTACACTGCACTGTTACACTGCACTGTTACACTGCACTGTTACACTGCACTGTTACACTGCACTGTTACACTGCACTGTTATATTGCACTGTTACACTGCACTGTTACACTGCACTGTTACACTGCACTGTTACACTGCACTGTTACACTGCACTGTTACACTGCACTGTTACACTGCACTGTTACACCGCACTGTTACACTGCACTGTTACACTGCACTGTTACACTGCACTGTTACACTGCACTGTTACACTGCACTGTTACACTGCACTGTTACACTACACTGTCACACTGTACTGTTACACTGCACTGTTACACTGCACTGTTACACTGCACTGTTACACTACACTGTCACACTGCACTGTTACACTGCAGTGTTACACTGCACTGTTACACTGTACTGTTACACTGTACTGTTACACTGCACTGTTACACTGCACTGTTACACTGCACTGTTACACTGCACTGTTACACTGCAATGTTACACTGCACTGTTATACTGCACTGTTATACTGCACTGTTACACTGCACTGTTACACTGCACTGTTACACCGCACTGTTACACTGCAATGTTACACTGCACTGTTATATTGCACTGTTACACTGCACTGTTACACTGCACTGTTACACTGCACTGTTACACTGCACTGTTACACTGCACTGTTACACTGCACTGTTACACTGCAATGTTACACTGCACTGTTATACTGCACTGTTACACTGCACTGTTACACTGCAATGTTACACTGCACTGTTATATTGCACTGTTACACTGCACTGTTACACTGCACTGTTACACTGCACTGTTACACTGCACTGTTATACTGCACTGTTATACTGCACTGTTACACTGCACTGTTACACTGCACTGTTACACTGCACTGTTACACTGCACTGTTACACTTCACTGTTACACTGCACTGTTACACTGCACTGTTACACTGCACTGTTACACTGCAATGTTACACTGCACTGTTATATTGCACTGTTACACTGCACTGTTACACTGCACTGTTACACTGCACTGTTACACTGCACTGTTACACTGCAATGTTACACTGCACTGTTATATTGCACTGTTACACTGCACTGTTACACTGCACTGTTACACTGCAATGTTACACTGCACTGTTACACTGCACTGTTACACTTCACTGTTACACTGCACTGTTACACTGCACTGTTACACTGCACTGTTACACTGCAATGTTACACTGCACTGTTATATTGCACTGTTACACTGCACTGTTACACTGCACTGTTACACTGCACTGTTACACTGCAATGTTACACTGCACTGTTATACTGCACTGTTACACTGCACTGTTACACTGCAATGTTACACTGCACTGTTATATTGCACTGTTACACTGCACTGTTACACTGCACTGTTACACTGCACTGTTACACTGCACTGTTATACTGCACTGTTATACTGCACTGTTACACTGCACTGTTACACTGCACTGTTACACTGCACTGTTACACTGCACTGTTACACTGCACTGTTACACTGCACTGTTACACTGCACTGTTACAGTATAGAAGAAAACGACGTGAGGCTGATGTTATGGGACACAGCTGGACAGGAAGAGTTTGATGCTATAACCAGAACCTATTACCGAGGTGACTTTAATTACAGAGATATTAGTATTCCTTTTTACCTATATAAGCTGTCAGTTATAAACTTTAACTAAATAAGAGATATTAACAAGGATGTAGGCAACATACGTGGTAACCATGGTTACCAATGTATATTTAGGTGGTCAAATAGCCGTCTTAGCATTTTCAACCACTGACAGAGATTCATTTGACGCCATACCTTCTTGGAAAACGAAGGTAATATTATTTTCTCCATCTTTATACATGCCTTTTTATACATACCTACAATATTCTAAATTTCTAAAATCTTAATTTCCTACTTTGTTGCACGTAATAGTGACTCGTACAATCAGTGAACGAATATTCGTGTTGTAAAGTTGATGACGTCACATTGTAAAGCTGATGACGTCACATAATCAAATTGTAACTTTTATCAGGTAGAAGATGAAGTTGGTGATATAGTTATGGCTTTGGTTCAGAATAAAGTGGATCTTATTGATGAGGCCCAGATGACTGTGTGAGTTGGTTATTTACGGTTATTAGATTTAGGTTGTTAAAGTGATAGCTACATCTTTTCATTACTTACAATTAGATTGGGATTTAGTAAATGAACATCTCGACTTTCACAACGTTGGAAATCCTGCTGAATCCTGATCTTGTCGCTTTGTTTAAATTTAATTTGATCAGATTTTTCATCTTGCTGCTTTTTCAGGGAGGAGGTTGAAGAAATGGCAAAAAGGCTAAAAGTAAAGCTATTTAGGGCCTCAGTTAAGGAGGATTTCAATATAGAAGAATGTGAGTATCTGGTGACATTTAATACTCGACTGATATTAAATTATAGGATTACTGTCCTATTACATACCATTGATCTAACACTAAGCATTATTAGAAGGGATCTTCATTTCAAATTTAAGATACTTATTTAATTTCTTAAAGCCAGCCGTTCACTTGATGTTGCAGATGGCATACTTTAATTTGATTATGGGGACACCGATTGATTCTCTTATTATTAGTTATTACGATTGAGAAGTTTGGAAATGGTTTGATTGCCGAGTTCAATTCTTACAGTAGATTAATTGCTGTGGTCAAAATGTAGACAAACTCAAAAGTTACTTTTGATTGGGTTCCAAGCGATATCTAATAGTTGGATATGTGAATTGTCTGCTTAACAATGGTGTCTGGTATTATGTTCACCCAAATCTACAGTTTTTGCGTCAATTTGTTACTTGACCCAAGCGCCGTAGTCTGCATAAAATTTTTGCTACGAATGCATATTTTAACGTCGGGCGCAATATTAATTTTACATGGCAAACAAAAATTGTTTGTCTGCAGTATAGCATTTTGTGCGTCGCGCAATAGCGTGCATGACGTGCGCGTGGCTCTCTGTCTTAACTTACCGATTAACCTCCTTTTCAATTTCGAGGTTGTTTTCACTGACCTAAACTTATTTTCAGTATTCAAATATTTAGTCTCCTCCTACTTATCAACGCGAGATAACGTAGTACAATTAACCGTTCCCGAACACAAGCGTCCAGCAAATCCAGTCACAGGTACTCGTCACGCTCAGCTTGTTTGACAGCCTGCCTAGCAACAGCGTGTGGATCATATCGTTCACTAATTAGTGCTTGATATTGTTGCATCACTGAACTTATAATATAGTTTACTTATCATAGACTTTAGACACTACTCTCTGTCTCAACGACATAATTGGTTATCGATCCACCGTGTTGCTATGTTACCGCAGAGCTGTAAATTGACCTACTAAACTTTCTTGTTTCAGATAATCATAGCAGTAAGCCTAGTCAACCAGATAATAACCCCACTATAAGACTTCCTGTTGCGTCTGGAGGGCCGGAATCAGCATTTGAACTGAAACCTAGTAGGGGGAACTCTAGCAAGAAAGTGAAAGCCCCCGCATGTACTCTTTTGTAGCTTTATAGTGAGATTAAAGAATATTTATGATGTTGTAAAATATTCAATTTGGTACAATGATGAGTGAAGTTTTGAGTTAATGTGATCAGTGAATTTGGCAGTATTATTAGACTTTTGTGTTCTTCTGTAAATAGGTAAAAAGATAAAGCACCTCTCTCAAGTTATGTTTGACGGAAATTTATTGCCGGGTATAAGATTTTTATGCGGGAGGGAATTAATCCCATCGATGTAAACTGTTGGGGGAGGTGAATCATATTTTTTTCTGACACTTAACAGCGATAAAATATTTAGCTTCCAGCGTTTACTAATAAAAACCAAGAATCACTGTCACGTGTCAAAACAAATATAGTTTAATAGTTAGCCTACCCGTCAGTATCCTGATCTGTTTTTGTTCCTTCGAATTTGTTTATTGGCAATAACATCGAGTGAGTCGATGATGATTTCATTCAATCATTCCCGTGGATCAATTATTGCGCTGTCGATAGCAGTGGCGTAGCCGTAACGTTGCCTGTTGCCCCCCCCCCCCCCCCCCCCCCCCCCCCCCCGCCGAAAAAGCGCCCCACTGTTGGCGCCCCCTCCCCTTTTGGCGCCCCTCCCTTAAATTGAACAAATTAGGTGATTTTAGAGGATACGCCGGTAAAATCTCTAAAAAAGTGTGTTACTAAAGCAAAACGCACAGTTTTGCTGGTACCTCAGTTAAGTTTTTCAAAATTGTCCCACATTCAAACGACGATTTGGTGCCCCCGGGGCCCTTCGTTACGCCACTGGTCGATAGTATTTAAGAGCTGTCGCAGCTGTCATCGAATACCTCTAATTGAAACCATGAGTAATCTGAATCAGAGTACTGGAATGTCAGTATTTTGAAACTCAGACTTCCATGTCTTGAAGTTGATTTTGGTAAAATCTGCAATCGTGAATTACTCAAATACGTCTTTAAATGTCAAAACTCCACGGTTTATTTCTCATGGCAGACGAAAAAATGAGGTAATGACGTCGTTATGGGAATCGACGAGCATAAATCGATTTTATTACAAGTCGTAAAATCTTACGTTTACCTTCAAACGTCATCTTATATTTTGTATATTTGTCTAAAAATCTTGAATGATGCAATCATTCTCAAAATTCGAAAGTATGTATTTCTTTGAAAGATTTATAATTGAAACCGACAGTTATCAAGACGTTTTATTGGTTCACATAAATTTATTGATTCATTGTAACCATCCAATGGATGGGAAGTTTGAAGAGCAAATTTAAGTATAACAATAATTAATATTCAATGTTCTTAATGGTCATAATGGTATTCTGATACAATAGATGTGTGGGGGAAATGCTCACACTATAGACTGAAGTTATCTAAATTCTGAATAATCACAAATTAAATTTCTATCTTGATGCTTCCAAACAAATTCCAATTAAGTAATACACTATTGTACAAACATAAAATTATCGCATCAAAAAATGTGTACATTATTCTACATTCTACAAGGCTACAGCATTCACATGACGCTATCCTAGGCTAGATCAAAATGGATAGACATAGCCTACTTAGTTTTCTACGATATCATGCCGTTGTTAATGATGCTAACTGCCAGTTTTATCAACATCCAAGACTCTGAATACTCAATACTGCTATCAAATGGACAGGAGATATTTCTCATAGTTAAACAAGGGTCAGTTATAAGATCGTGAAATGTGAATTAAAGAACGCATCATTAGTATATTAATAATAACAGTGAATAGTAACAAGTTTTAATAAGATAAAGTGAAATGTTCACTAGGGATAGTGAATTTCGTTTCAGTCGTCTGAAAATGGGGTTCATTCATCCTCTGTCTGAGAGCTAGTATAACTAAGCTGATCACTGTGTACATACCCACTGGTACAAGACACCGGAGACATCCTGCCCAGGGCACGCTCCGCCAGCCGCTCAACATCAAGACAGTCTGACACAAAGTAGAACCTCCCCCGGGTGAACTCTAAGATCCCCTCTGCTACTGATATATCTCTCTTGAACTGAGTGTATTTTGAAGATTTGCGAGGGGCTCTTAAAACGTGTTCCTCTAGCCGTGTGCTCGACCTTCTAACTCCAGTAATGCAGCTTTCTGAGAGAACTCTGTGGTCTTCAGACCCGATGTGGTCTAGTCTGAGCCAGGCTGTACCCGCTCGTAAGGTTTTTCCCGTTGTTAGAACGTAAAATTTGGTGTCCTGTTCCACTCGGATGGGAGGATCGAACAGGGCCCCGCAATATGGTTTAGGACGGAGCATAGCAGTTGGAGTTACAATAAAAGCAGTGGGGGTTGTCGTAACCAGCAGAGTAGACACCACAAGGACAAAGAAAACGAACTGGTGTACTTTCCAGAAGCTCCAGCCCCTGAGGATCAGGGTGAGAAGGGAGCGAGCCAGGGCCACAAGAACTGCACAACCGACAGGAAAGCAGTAGATCATGGTAACAACATTGTCTCGGGTCTGGGAAGCGGTTATCAAGTTGAGGACACTGTCGAGGTACTCCTCTCTGTTGCTCATCTTCTTCTTGGTTGAAGACCAACTCGATTCTCTGCCCTAGGTTAGAAGGTGTGCTTTTGTCGGTTGTTTCTTTGTGTAGCAATTTGGTGTAGAGATTTGTTAGACTTAACAGATTTGGAATAGACTGTTTATTTTTACTATCAAATACAATCGCTCCTATTCATAGCAATCTGTGGTTAAAGCCAGTGCACGGTCGATGTATGAAACCATTTCACATTGCCCTGTGATATCATTATAGTTACATTAATTTTCAATATTTGAATACTAGGTATACACGGCAGCATAACATCTTAACACTAAGGTTAAGAAACGACACCACCCACAAAATATAAAACCTTCTCTCTTAATACAGCGAAATTGAAGTGAAATAGAATCTATTGTGCATCTATTATTACTAAACAGCCAAAATTAATAAAGTCGCAAGGACCAATATTGAATATTTATTAGACAAATGGGGCTACTACTAGTGCTACTAGTGGCCATGTGACACACTAACATATTGCTTTACATTAGGACTGCTTTGAAGCACCTAATAGTAATAATATAGCTACTTCGACGGCATCGACAAATGCTAAGAAAGGTCCATTATAACTGTACGACGTACAGTACAGTAATGTAATTTTAGGCTTAAGCTCTGCTTTTTAGCACTGGAGCGTCAATTCGCTCTCTAAAAAGTTAAAATAAGCCGCTAATTGATTGTTTCGTCTAATGTAAGCATGCGGCAAAATACGTATCTAAAGACCTTCTAGTCTTCACTGTTAAAGTACAAAGTAATCATCGTTTAAGGAAGCGTAAAGGTTTGTTCGATCATTAAGCAGTTAAAATCGCAATAAATCTTGGTAAAATTCACAAAGAGAAATGGAGACAGCGGTTATTGCCTGCTAACAACCTAGCTCAAACGACCTTTTCAATTATCTACTGGAAATGACGATAACAAAATAATAGTTAGTCTCCTAGGATGCAGCTGAATAGTACATTACTTGAACCTTGGTCCCAGAGCCGGATATGGGCTCAAGCTAAACGGACCATCTAAACGCACGCTTCTGTAATAGTTAGCATGGCTCATTATAACTCTTACTCGCTTATATCTTATACAGTACATCATGTACTTGTTTTCTTATTGTATAAATGAGGATAATGTACCGTAAATTTGTATAGAGGAATTTTAGGCAAATTTGTGATTAGGCGTTGAATCGTTGATAGCACAAAAACTAAAAGAAACAATTTACATTTTGTTAAAAATTGAAAAGTTATCGAAATCAAAAATACATATTACAGTCATATTTACAAATTCTCAATTCAATATGTTCATAAGAAAAAACAGTCAGCAAACAATCATTGTAACTTTAAAATATGAATTCTTCAAAATACTCATCTGCAATTTCAAATTAAATCAATAAAATCTTTAAATGTTCCGTTTTTATTAACAAAAATAATCAATTATTCAATTATCAAAAAATTTTCAGAAACGCTTGCTTATAATTCAAAAGACATCTTGATTTATATAAAACACTAACAGTCTGTTTTTAGAAGGATTGTTCACAGCTCCTTACTGAGCTCACTAACCAAACCGAACATTGCAGCATATAATTAGCATCCAAACTTCTGACTTATCTCCAACTAGCCAGCTCTCAAGTGTTCATGTAGTCTGACCTGGTGATCTCTGCCATGCCTCTCTCGTCAACAAATCCGACGTTGACCTGTATGGTGGATTATTTTTATTAGCGCGAGGATCATGCTAACAAATTGTGCCATACAATGTGCAGTGATGTGAAAGGTTCCAACAGCTAGATCAATACTTAACAGACTGCTAGACTCTTTTACAAACCGGTTGAATCTCTGCTGGAGCCTCAGAATTAGGTCTCACCATCTCCACTTGAGCGTACTCGGTACCCAGAGGATCACCAACTATCGTATCCTCCGGCTGGAGACATGGCTTTAACTCTGCGGGTGATTTGTGTTCCTTGTAGTCGTTCTTGAAGACCACACTGTCCCCTTTGAAAGCCACGTTTTTGTACTGGAGTCCCGGCACCTCTCCCCCGTTGCTTGGACCCGGTGGATCGGGGGTAATTTCTACCTGTCAGACACAATATTGGGCTTCGTTGTTGCAAAATTTAGCATTTTAAAAATTATTAATATCAGATAACAGAAAACCAGGGGCAAAATATATGAAATTTTGGGTGGAGGGACATAACATACCACTTGAGCGACGGAGGGGCTATCAGCAGGATCTTCTATCTGCAATATAGTTTCGTTGTCTACGGGTACGTACTCCGATGCTGTTTTCTCCTGTTTACAAGATTATTTGATTTTATATTCTTTAAAATTTGCAAAAATTGTATTGTGCAAGTTAGAATCATCAAAGAGTTAATATATAAAAACTTCCTACCTTGAAATCCAGGAAAGCTTGGTAGTGATTGATTTGTCCTTCTATGAAACTTTTGATTTCAGTGAAGCTCGGCCTATCCGCTGACTTGAACTCCCAACACTGAATAGAGACGGAGTATCATATTATGTTGATATTATGTTATGTCGATCAATAAAAAGTCGGTACCTTTTGGTTTGTTTCATGATAGCGGGAATTATTTTAAGTGAGACCGAGTACCTACAAAGCTACAAGTTCCATGTACCTGAAGCATAATGGAGTAAATGAAGTCAGGGGTACCATTAGGAGCTGACATCCGGAACCCGTTAACAAGTCTATCCCTAAGAAGAGAAGGGTCTATACCCGGATACGGGCTCCCACCTGTCAGGGATTAGTTGGGGATTAGCTGGCATTAGTTAAGGGTTGACTGGTTACTGATTAGTTTCTATATTTTGAGATCAGGGTATAGCAAAAGAGATTTGACGATCAGCTCATTACTAAATCTCTAAATAAGCTAACTACATGATATGGGAGCGCTTAAATTATCAGAGACAAGTTTACTCGGATCTTCAAATCTACCGCTTAACACTTACCCCATGAGAAAAGCTCGTACATGAGCACACCAAACGACCACACATCACTCTCTGTGGTGAACTTGAGCTCGAATATGGCTTCAGGGCTCATCCACTTTATCGGGAGTCGACCACCCTCGCTTTGGTATTCGTCGTAATTATAAAGGTCTCGTGCCAGCCCGAAGTCGGTTACTTTGCACTGTTTGTTCGTGCTGATCAGGATGTTACGAGCTGCCAAGTCCCGGTGAACGAAGTTTTTCTTGCTAACATACTCCTGGAATCATTGTGTCAGGTTTTGATATGTAGCATAATGCATATAATATGAGGAATTATAAAGAGAGACTTTTCTCACATGAAAGACCGAGTTCAATAATCCCTGGTATTACCATGCCATTAGAGATCTGCCATGCGAAGAAGACTTGATCCTCTTGAGAAATGCAAGCCTGGTTTTTCTCTTTATTCTTCTGCAGGAAGTTCATCAGGTCACCCCCATCCACATACTCCAAAATCAGGCAGTACGGCTGATACACGACAATAGAGCCAACGATTCCAACAATATTGGGGTGGTTTCCTAGCTTCTTGCTCAGCCTTATTTCTTCCAGGAACATTATTCCGTCCCGTTCAGTAGCTACATCTGATGGTTGTGTTTGGCTTTAAGTTTCAGAACATTCTTAAAAATATGCCTTAAAATTGTCCACATCTCACAGCGAGATGCCAATATTACAGTAATCTGAGTAATCAAGCGATCAAAAATAAAATTGACAAAATATAAAATAGCCACAGATTTAGTCATCATTATACAAAATAATCACATAGAAGCTGATCTAGAAAAAATGAAATCGCCAAATAATTAAAGCACAGTTCCGGGAATCATAGCCATCGGACAACATTAATTAATTAATTAATTAATCCCGTCACTTTCTAGTTTGTTAGGATGGCGTAAAATAAATTTACCATAAAAGCGTTATAACCCCGATAAAAATGGTTTACTTACTGGAAAGTTCCTTTACAGCCACAACAATTGAGGAATCGTATTTAGGTTTAGTCAGAAGACTTCCCTTGAACACCATTCCGAAAGCTCCCTCGCCCAACTTGTCTTGCAGTTCCAGATGCTCCCTCTTTACCTGATATATAGACATGTCAACTGACAGTTACAAAGAGAGTCGAAAGAAATGGAGATGATTTCCATAGAAAAACGGCTTCATACCTACCAAAAACCAGTATATACATTCAGTAAGTGTAGCGAATAGCGATGGTAATGGTATTCGGATCGTTTTTCAACAACAAAACATTCTTGATGATACAATAAGTTATTTATACTTTTACCGAACTGAACGTTCGACTTCGGTAAGAGTTCGATCGCGGTGATTGCTTTTTAAAGTTTTTGGAGTTTGGCACCTTTTAAAGTTCATTGAGTGCGTTTTCTCGACTATGCATCCTGGTATTTGCTGTTGTGTTTTCAAGTGTCCATCTAGAACAGGACACTAATGGATGGGAACAACACTACAGATACAAACCTCGCTCTAAACACGTAGTTCCTCAATTACTGGGCCGAGAATCTGGAGAGAACGGAGTATAAATCTGATATTCCTTACGGCTTACACTGCTACAGTTAATTAATAATTATTTTATCGCCTGATCCTCAAATATATTCCTGATTAGGCCAGGGTATCGGTTCTAAAAATGATATCCTTTAATTCAAGATATCTATCGAACAGCCTTGGAAATATAAATAACAATGATTAAGCAATGGTTATAATGCTCTCCAACTTAAAATAAAACAGGCAAACTGTGAAAGTTCGCCGATTAAAATGATGCCCTTAAATTCAAGTTATCAATTGCTCAAAACTGACACAGTTAATCGAATACATAAAGCTTCATTTCTTCGTTTATTGATATTTCCTTGTGTGTAACGTGATATTGAGAAAGTTTTCGCTTAAAATTAATCGTTATGCCTACCATCTTTATTGTCTATATATATAATATATATTATAAATAATACCTATTATAAATAAAGAACATGAGGTCCGGATTTTAAAAGTTTGTTTAATAAGCAAAACCGTTTGATAGTCCTCGAGTAAAATTGTTGAGCTCAAATCAGTTCTAATTCTCAAAGTCAAGCCATGATAGCCCTCATGCTACATAAATTTAATAGCTAAGAACTAGTTAATCGCATATTTTGTTATAAAATAAGTGAAATAGTAACTTCAACCCCTACTTGTAGATCATCCGAGACAAAATCTATTAAAAATAGTAACCTGCAGCTGCGGACCCATTTAAATAGCACAGCATTTGCGCGCTTATATATCAGTCTGAGTGCACAAGGGCGGGATGATATTTCCTCTGATCAATGTCAGTGTCAGCCAAGCCAATGGCGTAAAGCTGTATTTCAGTACATGGTTCGGCACAGTCAAACTCAAACAGTTCGGCTGATATGTGCGCAGCCGCGGACCAAATATTCAACTTATGTGTCTGTCTGTGTCAACTTTAAACCACACATAAACTTATACCGAAAGCGTCGCGTTTCAGCTACTTCCGGTCGCGTGGGTAAACTATTCGGCTTTTACAGCATAGTGGGCAGTGGCGACAGTAATAGCGCTGTTACGTACTCCTTCGTTACCTTGGTTACTGCATGCAGATATTGCAAGGTCTCTGAATCTGATTGTGTGCAGCCAATTTACGATTTACAATCTCCACTGATTATAAATCTGCACAGTCAGCTAAATGAATCTTCTTGAAGAATTCTCACAATACACACCTCTAGTACGATAAAGAATAATATATTATTATAGTCCTACCTCCCAATCATCAGTAAGACGCTTAACTCTGAGCATTTCAGCGCGTGTAGCTTTAGCTTTCTTGAGGAAACAAGCAGCGGGGAGCACGAACACAATGATAGCTGCAAGGATCCCAATCACAATCCAATGTGTGTCTGAGAAGCAGATTAATTGTTATTATCTTCATATTTTGCAACAGAATTGTGTTATATGCTATAGTATCTCAAATGCAATATATCGTTGCATTCTTCAGAATTTTTCTGTGGTAGGTTCAAGGTTGAATTGCGCTGCAATTTATTATATTATTAAATCAAGTTTGTTATACCGCTAAAGATATAGATAAGCATTAACAGTTTAAGGAGACAGCTCCTCTGTCGTCTGGATGCATTTTTAGATATTATAGAAAAATTTATTTATTTTGATCGTTCAGGTTGAAAATTCGGAATGAATTTAAGTGAAGAGAGAAATCGGGTTTTTATATTAATGTTTAAATTCTATCGTGTTGAAGATGTATGCCTGCCTATATTCAATAAGTCAATACCAGGCATGTTGTCATGGTAACAGGCACTTGTAACATCTCTATTTAGTGAACTTGTCAGCGTTAATTACTTGTCAGCGAATTATTGGTATAATGTTCAAGATGAAGCCACGCTATTTCTACCCCGCTCTAACGATTTAAGTGTGGCATTATTACCAAAATGTCATAAGTCAAAGTGACCTATACTTTATCAAAGTAGCGAAGTTTTATTCAATAATTTAAATATTAAAATATTTGATGCCATTAAATATCTCATTACTTTAGTCATTCGTATTTGATATAAGATAGAAATCAGCTCATCTCTAAGAATTAATAGTTAAATTTAAAATCGCGATAGGGTGAAATTTGAATGTTAGGTTAACTTAAGTTGTCCATTTCAATAAACCATGAAATTTAAGATCGAGCAGACACAATCATCTCAAATTGCACGATTGTCGTAATAATTAGATAACCATACAAATACAAATATTTATTAAATTATACTCGAACAGATTTGGTAACCACTCCACTTGCCACTAGAGCTCGGTTCTTGAGGGGGATTGACAACTTTGCACACTTATGTTGTTAATCTTCTAAAACATATCGGTGATAATATGACAAATCCAACCAACGCAATGCAGCTGAGTTGTAAAAATTCGGTAAACGTTTGAAAAAAATCACCCGAACTTTAGATCATTTGAAGTAAATTTTCAGTTAATTGACATTTTTTAACTTTAACAGTTTTTTTATAATTTTCGTCCGATTGCTCAAAATTTCTAACTTGATGAAGAAAATCCATTCTTTAAAAATTCATCATTCTACACATCGGTTATATATGGGTATATTGAATACATGTTATGTGTTGTTGCTTTCAACATAAGTTACCTACGACGAAAAATGTGAGCTAAGATATCTCGTCTAATCTTATTCTTTGTGATTAGGTTACTTCGCTAGCACGTTTAAATCTTCCAATCAGTCTCATTAAAGTTAAACTTAAATATCCTGCAAAAACTTTAATCTCAGAATATCTGAACCAGGTCGTTCCCGTCAAACCAATTTTATAAATTTGATGACCCAGTTCAATGTCTGTAACTAGCATCAGAACACTCTTCACTACCGACTACACTTCACTACCGGCGAGAAATTTACCAATCTTTTCTTGACATGTATCAGACATAACCTGACACAAAATATCTGACACGAAATCTTAATGTGAACGAAAGTAATTCCGTGGAAGATCGCTATTGGAACGTACCGGTTTGACACAACTGTACTTGTAGCTGACATGATAGTTGGGTACATCTGACATGTGACTAATGGATATCGGACGCTGGTTATAGACTACCACAGTACCCCATACCTAGCAACTCAGACAGCTGGCAGCCGGACGGGAGCTGCTGCAGGGAGCTGCTGTTACTGGCCTCACGTCACACTATAATATTATCTCTTATACTGAGAGATGCCGCATTTTTCCAGTACCCTTGTCTTGCACTCTTTCTGTCTGGGGTTGTCGGACAAGAATTGTAATTCCTCTGTAGCTGGTCGGCTGCTTGATCTTCCGTAACATCTGCATACCTCGTACGCTCAACTAATGATTTGGATAGCTGCTTTGTGACCGAGTGTAAAGGACAGTGCTGGACAGTGAAGGCAGGTGGTAGATTGCGTGTTACAAATCTGTAGTGCTAGTTCACCTCAGGTACCGGATTATCTGTACAAGTATGAAAACTTTTTAACAGCGCATTCCGCCCGTTAAAGCGGCAATTTAAATAATTGACGCACTAAAAAGGCTCGGATCGGTAAAATTACGACTGCTAGAGCTTGTTTAACACTAACTTCACCTAACGGATCCGGCAGCTGAGGAATGTGACTAGTTGACTGCTTTGATGGCTCGTTAGGCGCCTCTTCCTTTTGATTGGTCGTATACAAATCCTTAAACTAGTCACTCTTACATATTGTTAATTAGTTTATACGTAGTAATATAATTATGTATAGAGTGCCACGAAGTTGTATTCTGTTGTTGTATTTTGCTTGGACAGTGTTGATTTAATCTCGTAAAAATTGAAGTCAATTTTTAAATTCTGATGCTATTTAAGTTGTGATAAACATAACATTTTACTTCAAACGGGTTCACAAAGTTGACCGCGTGAGCTCAAACAGGGTCTTCCTCCCGTGTGAGTTTTATCAGTTTTATGAGTTTTTAAGGAACTTGTTGAAATTCCAAATATCTTGATTGAGCATGCTATAAATTTTCATCCATTATTAGGATTAAATTGGACTATTTATCACTTTGTTTCATGCTGACGTACGTTTAACTGAATTTGATTGCTTATATTAAGATTTGTGTGGAGGGGTCATTATATAGAGCAGTGGCACCTGCTCCGGAGAAAACAGACACTCCTTCAACCTTCTTCTACATGTCTTTTGATTTTAGGTTCTTTACTAGTTTTCAGTCGCAAACCCTTTGACAAGTTCATTTTGACATGATATTTTATAATGAAACTGAATGTCTCAGCCAGGCTTTTCCGCCGCCGCCTGGTCTCAGCATTCCCGAAACAGTTTTTTCTCAAGGGTCGACTGAGTCCTCGGCCTCGGCCTCGGTTTAACCGAGGAATAGCGATTTTTCCTCGGCCTCGGCCTCGGTTATATCAAAGCAAAATTTCCTCGGCGTTGGCCTCGGTCGCAAATCCTGCCCTCGGTCGACCCTTGTTTTTTCTACTTCAACAACCTTGATAGATTCCTTTGTTTCTTATGCAAAACCTCGACACGTTATTAATTTTTTGAAATAATCTTGCTTATTATCCTATTAAATTAAATTTATCCAGCTGTAAAATATTTAAAAACCAGACTTACTTGTCCCCGGACACTTTTCCTCATCGAGTCCGTCCGCACAGTCCTCGTTACCATCACAAACCAGTTCCGTGTTAATGCACTTCTCCGGGCACTCAAACATGTCATGTTCAACACACGCTGGTTGGAGGAGGTACCTTCATATTACGCTCAACTTGATTAATCAGTACACATGATAACTTCTGTATAATAAAAAGCTCCTGTTTAAAAATAGAGGCCCCCCTACTTTGTATGTGATTTTATGATATTAGCGAGCAGAATCCGAGTAATAGAGTGGGTTGTGGCTCAGATAAACACATACTGATTGATCATACCACTGTTATACTTTATAGTAGTAACCAGACTAAGCAAAGTGTCGAGCAAACCACTCATTATCACTTCGCTGTATTTGAGTACATACAATATACATATTTATTACATATGTATAATGTATATCTTGAATAACTTGGGATATGGTCCCAGAAATAGTGGTCCACCATGCAGAGCCGTTAAAACTGTTAGCTGACTCACCTTGACATACTACTTCGCCCGCCGGCTCCCACTCTTGCAACTTGTTCTGAGGGGTGCATGTTTTAGTAGCGTTACTATCCACAGAGAGAACGGTAGCTCCCACACAATTGTAAGTTATCTTGTCTCCAGCCTCGTACAGTGTAGAATTGATCTGACCCTCTGTCTTGGTAAACGTCCCGGAGTCGACCAGGGGTGGCGCTGGACAGATCTCAACTGAGGGGTTTATAATGTCACGTGATACGATCAGAATCAGTTGTGCTGGACAGATCTCAACTGAGGGGTTTATAATGTCACGTGATACGATCAGAATCAGTTGTGCTGGACAGATCTCAACTGAGGGGTTTATAATGTCACGTGATACGATCAGAATCAGTTGTGCTGGACAGATCTCAACTGAGGATCAGAATCATAAATTAGTTGCTTCATTTTTTATTCATGTCTTCCGACCTAATCGAGTTATAAAAGGTCGATATTAATATAATATGTAGGTTCTTTTGCGATAGTCAAAACGCGACAACTAGCGCTGGATGGCGACAACTAGCGCTATCCAGCGCTAGTTGTCGCTATCCAGCGCTAGTTGTCGCGTTTTGACTATCGCAAAAGAACCAATATGTATATTAATATAATATGTATATTAATATAATATGTATGTATATTAATATAATATGTATATTAATATAATATGTATATTAATATAATATGTATATTAATATAATATGTATATTAATATAATATGTATATTAATATAACATGTATATAAATATATATATTATATAATATACATCATAAAATATGAACGACTCTCTCCGCTGTAGATACAGCTGGCCAATGTGTCACGGTTTATTAAAGTTGTTGAACATAGCTAGTCCCAGTTATTGGTTGCACCTTTCACTCCAGCTAATTTCATAGATTAGCCCTAGAGGGTCTGGGAGTTGGGTGCTGGACCTTATACGTAGCTCTATGTTGTGGGTTACCTGGGTAACCAGTAATGTTGTGGGCTGACAAATTGTTTATCGGCTAACATCGCTTAGCAAAACCTATAACGCGAACGACATTTAAGCGATATTGAACTTTAACTGAATGTAGTGAAAATATAATGATCTGAATTAGCCATCTCCTGAAATTTTCGAAGTCCAATTTTAGAATTCTAGAAACATTTCACCACTATTACCATTCAGATGAGCAGATTTGATTGCTAGGAAGTCGGGAAATATTTTTCGTAATTTTCTTCATTCAGGCAACTAAATGTAAACCGAAAATGGCGTACATTGTATCTATTTCCATGTTTCGCTGTTTTCCTCATTTGCCCAAAAAGTCTGTCGATGGAGAAAAAAGTCTTGCTCTGTCATAGCTACAATGTCACGCCCAGTGCAGCTGATGATGACGCTTTCAATGGATCTCGAACATTGTATTAACAAGTTGCGCGATATAAAGGCGATTATTTGTTTACCGATTCTTTATTTACCGCATAGAATATATTTATTATAATTATAACTTCTAACAGCATATTGTATAACTATAATCTATATAGGCTGTCCGCCTTTTCGTATTATTTGTCGATAAGATTCTTGGTGTGTCCCTGTTTAAATGCAGCTGAGCCGTCACATAAAATTAAAGTAGCGGCTTTAATTCATGTTGATGTTCTGTCAAAATCGTGGAGCTGATATTTGACGGACTATTGCTTAGAATCCCCAGATAATATACACATCACGTTAACTGGTGATGTGTTCTCGAAACTTCGGATAATTTGCTTCTTGAACGTTTGGAATTTGGCTAGGAATATACGCTTGATATTTTCCTTACCCACGACGATTTTAGTTTCTGAGAAATCTAGGTCAGATGCTCGGAAAGTCGATTTGTTAACCTTTTCATTTAACGTTTGTTACCTTAAACTGTTACTGTTAAAGCTAAATTACACTCTTTACTCTTTAGTGGAGCTACTTAGGGGGACTTACATCAATCATCGGATTTTACTGAATGGGAAAATTCAAGTAATTTTATATTTCTTGCAGCAGTTTTGACTTTGTCACCCAGCAATAGTCTGGCTACACGTTTAGTGGACTCATTCATGAACCTATTTCTAATGAACATCAATTCAACTATATCATTTCATCTTATCTCAAAATAGCTTAACTTCACAGGTCGCATGATATCTGTTTGGACCAAGACGCCTGCTCAAAACCAATCGTGTTATCATTATCCGGGCCGGTTTGTGATAAGAAATGAGTTTTGTAACACGCGAACACGGGCCGGTAGTTAAGATCAGTGCAATCTCTTATTATGTTTACTGAGCGAGAGAAGGGGGGTACATATAATCAGGACATGGTCGCTACACTACTGTTCTAAATACAGAACAGCCATGGGGAGAGAGAGTGAGAGAGAGAAAGAGGGAAGGTTGTTGTGGACGAGCTACTGCGATTCAATCATCTTGATTGCCTCTTGTAAAATAGCTGTTTTGGTGAAGCTCACAAGTAACATATCGTAACTATCTACACAGTATCACCATTGGTATTCCCTTTAGTTTAACAGTTCATCAACGGATTGGTAATGCCCGAAAATACAAGGGTTCTGTTAATCACATGGAAATTTGTAATAATAATTTGTTAGATAATTCCCACTCTTGTTCCATTGCGAGGGTTCGACATCATCTGTTTGTTTGTTGTTAACTTTCATGTGATACAAGGCAGTCAGAAACGTCCATTAGATTATTTTAGGTATTTTCGATGGTTACAATTGGGTCGCGTAGTAGATTATATTGACAGAGATGTTTGTAATTGTATAATTATTATTTACAAAATGACAAATCTTCAGCATCATGTGAAATGTATTGTAGGCTTCGGAGGACAACCAGTTCCATGTGATTTCGTCATTTAAAATTTATCAAATCTTCTTGGATTTTGAATATTTTCTTGGATTTTAAAATTTCATTTGGATTTTAAATATTATCTCCGAAATTTCAAATCTTCCACAGATAAAGTACTTATGCGCAAACCATGGCACATACATTATACAATTACAGCATTTCTTACGGTTGTCATAAGAAGAATTTACCATTGTGGTAAATAGGACCACCTTGTCAGTACTTGTCCCCTACCCCAAATTATTCTAGCAACACCAACCTTTAACCACTGAGTGTTTTGTGTCTTTCTACTAACTTACTTCACAGCTAATTACTACTATTCTGTGAGTCAGGAGTCTTCTTTATTGTTAGTACAAGACCCATTATATGTCTTTATTGTTACCCTGGCCTTAAAGACTTGGCCTGACGTCATTAGGCCAAGTCTTTAAGGCCAGGGTAGTCCCACGACCCACACGTTTAGTCTTGGTATCGACCTTGTTCATAACTTTTTAACTTTCCGCTTAACCGTTACGGATAGGTTGATCAAGGGGGATTGAAGACTGCAGATTTAATTCCGACTTGAAGGTATTTTTCTTATTCAGTAGTCTGACTCTTAGTCAGTACTTACTTGATTGCACTGTTATGTCTCCTCGCTTGTTCTCTAGGATAGTCCCCCAATTAACCAGAAGATCGTCCTCATGAACTTCGTTCCTGTTAGAAAGATTTATTATTTAATTCATTTTCATATACGGTTGTATGTATAGACTATAGTTATATATAGTTAGTCCAGAGTTGTTAATATTTTTTAATTTAAGTTGAGTAATTATGATGAATATTCATTTTATGCATTATGACGGCACGAGTTTCAATGATCAAGGGTATTAATTTTATCATTAAAACGTCGAGTCATTTGTTCCGCTGCTAAAAATATAATAAGTTTACGTCATATTTTATGCGGTTAATTGACAGTATTTAACATAAATATTAATAGAGGTTGTTGGTATATCTTGATGCGTTATTTAACTTTTTTATTTTGTTGAAGTTTAAAATTTTGAATTATTACTTTTACTTAAAGTTTTGTTAGTTCTTATTGAAAAATTAAATATTTAGTTAAGGTAGCCGCCCTGAACCGAAAATTTGCATTTTATAATATCTATCCTCGATACGAGCGAGATTTAATACCCTGTTTAGCTTCATTTAATTCAGTAGTCTGGAACCGCCCAGTGACCCGATAAAATGGTGAAATGTTTTACGTCGAAAACTGCTGAGTTATTGTGTTCAACAAGTTAATGGTTATAGTATAACGGAACCAGTATAACTTATACTGGTTCGTCCACAACTGGTGTGGCTTGATTATTGCTGTTATACTGGTTCCGTCCACAACTGGTGTGGCTTGATTATTGCTGTTATACTGGTTCCGTCCACAACTGGTGTGGCTTGATTATTGCTGGTTCCGTCCACAACTGGTGTGGCTTGATTATTGCTGTTATATCGACTGATCAAAATAAATGAAGAAATATTTCGACCCGTTTCGAACAGGTATGGCCGATATTTCTACGGTAATTTGATTACTAATCAAATTAAAGTCAGGCTCCAGCTCAAAATATGGGTAATCAAACTCGAAAGACTTAATCCTGACATTATCAACTGACACTTACCACATTCCCGACAAGACACCGCACAGGTGTCATTAACATATGTTCCCGAATTTCCCTAATTGTATTAACTCGTCTCACCTATCGACCATGCTTTTGATCTGTTGTGCTGTGAGTGCTTTTCCCCAGAGATTAAGTTCGGTGATATCACCCCCGAATCCCCGGTATCCTCGGAACGAGTTGAAGCTCTTCATGATCCCCAAATAGACCGTTCCACCACCAGATATTGTCTTCCCCTTCGTTAGAGTCAGCAGCCCTGAGCAATGTATAGTTTTTCTTAAATATCTTGAATTTTAGTTTTTCTTAAATATCTTGACTTTTAGTTTTTCTTAAATACCTTGACTTTTAGTTTTTCTTAAATACCTTGACTTTTAGTTTTTCTTAAATACCTTGACTTTTAGTTTTTCTTAAATACCTTGACTTTTAGTTTTTCTTAAATACCTTGACTTTTAGTTTCAGCAGCCCTGAGCAATGTACAGTTTTTCTTAAATACCTTGACTTTTAGTTTTTCTTAAATACCTTGACTTTTAGTTTTTGTTGATCGCTCTACTCAGATATAAGAATATTTAACTCGTTTACACTATTTTAGGAATAGAGCAGTAGGTATATTAGTACTAGTAGAGCAGTAGGTACTAAAGCAGTAGATATATTAGTACTAGTAGAGCAGTAGGTATTTAGGCTAGATTTTAAGTTTTTAAGTCTACAAAAACCTCTTGCTGTACTTTTATTTATTTTTGCAGAACATTTATTTTGGCCAAAGTAAGATAATATGCCCTCCATCATTCAGCCATTAATCTTTGCTAGTGAAACTAAAACATCTCTTAACCGTACAGTTAACATCTCCACAGCTTATGAACTACCGACTGGAGATATCAATATTAAATTAAATAGCCGTCAAAAAATTGTTGCACTCTACAGCTTTTAGTCGGGAAGTGCAGTAAATAGGTGACAAGTAGGAAATGTGCATAAAGCTGATCATTTGGAGCGTCGTTTAGAGTTCAAAGTGTCTCAATAACTGTGCTTATCCGCTCCTAATATCGATTATCTCGTATTTGTCATCACTTCCAAACATATTTCTCGGACTATGACACTTTCTACGCCCGTTGCCCCACCTTGTGCTCACGAGGAAAATAACATGACATAAGAAGTTGAGGAAGTGATAGCAGGTAATATTAGTTCAAACCTGTCTGGTTGTTGGTGACCTCCTGTCCGTCCCGGTACCCCCTCCAGCGTCCCGTATTGTCCCACGTGAAGCAGGTGGTGTACCACCTGTCCGTTGCTATAGCGATGGAGGGAACTGCTCCAACTTGTTGGTCGATCCCAGCCATGTAGAAATGCATGTGTGTCTGGGTGTTTAATAAAGGGGATTACAGCAAAGCACCACCATGCGGAGTTATTGTGCCTAAAATCTGGTTACTCGCTCCCAATCATGGAGAGGTTAGACCTTTTAACGTGATCATTTCCAGGAATTTTAAAGTAAATTTTTGACTGGAAAAGTGGTCTACACTATTTGAAAAGTCATTGAGATCTCATGTTGCTTAAAAATCTGGTTGATAGCTCAATTCTGTAATCCTGTAATCTTAGGTGCTAAAAGCTTAAATGTGACCATTATGTCAACGTTTACATACGTAATCAAAATTGCTCGAATTATCTACCACAAACAGAATGAATCCGCTCTTCCAGTGACTCTCTTACCGATTATATTACGTTACCTTACTTAAAACACTGAAAGGCGGAAGAATCTGATTGTATAAATGGAGCTGCAATATCAGAAGACCACGTGATAAGGACCAGCTCTTGACTGTTTCATTTCAAATTAGATCAAAGCTCCCAAGTTGGATTGTGGGCAATATTAATTGAAAAGCCACGTGTTGCTTAAAAATCTGGTTCATAGCTCTCAATCATGGAGAGGTAAGGAATTACAACGTGACCATTTCCAAGAATTGCGTTTGACTCGAAAAGCATTACCAATAATTATTATATATTATAATGTTAGAACAAATATTTGCTCTCATGAACTTTATAATAAACATTGCCAGACAGTGAGGGGACCATAAAAAACTTAGCTCCTAAGATTATATAACTCCGTAATCTTAGGTGCTAAAAGCGACCACTATGTCAACTTTTACTATGTATTCAAAATTTCTCGAATAATCACCATAAATAGAATATGTCCGCTCTTAAAGGCGACCCTGGCCTTTATATTACCTTTCTTTATTGAGGTATTAAAACACTGAAAGCTAGTTACGCGATCGCGAGTAATTTCAATTCTGCTCGTGCCGAAATGAGAGAGTACAACGTGAGGAATAGCTGTTAACTGTTTCATTTCGTTTTTCAGCTGATATTTTCTTTAATTATGTCTCAAGCTGTCAAGCCATTATTTGATAGTGTCATTGATTTCTGATCCACTATCGTTTATTTCATATTCTATGTTCATGCTGTAAGCATTTTGTTCAACATTACCGGTTACCTTATGTTTCTCAAGGACGATCTCTTCTTTGAACCCATCCACTGTTGTCACGTAAGAAAATATCGTTCCGATTTTCACGTCTGATTTGATGATTGCACACATCGTAAATTCTGAGGGATAATGTTTGGTAATTATGTCAATGTGCATGCAACCTGGTGAAGTTATTAATTATTTATCAGACTTATAGCACTGAGCAAATATTCCAGAAATGAAATTGACAAGTTACCGTGAAACTGCCATCATTTGAAATATTCGTAAAGTCGAAAAAGTGAAAATCAAACTGACACCCCACCACTCACCAGTTATTTGGTACAATCTGTCAAAATTGATATTTTCCCGGTCAACCGCGTCACCGTGATGGCATAACTGCAGTCTCGACTACCAGCTAACTGCTTAGTCGGACTTTAAAACGCATGATGAAGCTTGCTCACATAATCTTGACCCTTGCCAGGGTCGCAGTTCAGCAGTTACATCCTTACTGGCCTTAGCTAAAGATTGCCAAGCTACAATTGTGGCCTGTCGCGGTCTGTATATTTTATGAGCACTAGCAGGAACCCGTCTAACCATAAAGTGGTGTCAAGACTCAGGAGACTAAAATAATTATTACCTATTTAATTCGCGTTTTTGATACCACTTGGGGGTCCAAATTTTGGGCACTAAAATTCTTATTCCTTGGCCAATTTTTTTTAATGCTGATTTGAAGGCCATTAAAGCATTTGAACTTTTCAAAAAAGTTTAAGTTGTATATCTTTTACGGTTTTTGCGGAAAGTCGTGTTAAAGTTGATGCCGTGGTGTCAGTAAAATGGTACGGATATATATAGGATTAAACAGGATTAAACAGGATTAAACATAAATTTGTCAATGAGAGCCCTAACACTCACGTCTTGACTATACATCAATATAATAGAAATAAATAAATAAATAATGTGCAAGAGTGTTCTTAAAATACAAATTTAAAAATCATAAAAATTTAACTTCGTCACATCTTTTGTTGAAAGAGAAACAAGTGCAAATAAAATAATTTAATTCCCATGAACATGTTCCAAAATGATATTATATGGTGATCGTGATATGAAATGAAGCTCGACTTGACCGTCACGTATCCGCCGAGGAGTTCTGTTGAGGACTGAGGACTGAGGTGTAGCGGGGACTTTACAGCTGGACTTCAGCAGATCCTTCTTAGTGACTTCCTTCTTCGGGAAACGCCTGTTGTTTGCTCTCACCAAGAACCTCGCTGTCTCTCTTATGAGGCTGGCATCTGTGAATAGCCCCTCTAAGTTAGCGAAAAGACAGGTTTTGGCTCTCTGACTAAAGCGGTGTCGGTAGTCTTCATACAGGGAGCAGGTCCGGAGGACGTGTACCTCATCTTCGATGATGGGGTCGAAGAATGGCATTTCTGCGAAACTTTCGAGCATGTCCATGTCCTCTGTTGAGCAAGCTTTACATATCCGAGGTACGATCTGGTTTCTTTTGTGGGTTCCATGACGTCCTGTCTCAATATTGAAATTGTGTGAGCTTGATCTGAATTGAGCCAGCTTTTTGGATTCAGCGTGCGACAGGTTCATATTGAGGTACTGCTCATAGCCAAAACTCATCTTTATGGTGTTGTAGAACGTTAGTTTCTTGTTATCTCTCAGTGTTCCATATCTGTCTGAAGTTGGAACGCATCGCTTCTTTGATTTGTGAAGGTGAGAGTTTTAGATGATGTCCATTGGGTTGGTTTAGAACCGACCGTGCAGTCTCGATGTTGGTGTTCCAAGAAAGACTGAGGCTGCGTTGCTCTTTGAAGGCATGTCGCACAAGACTGTTAGATCCAGCTTTCTCCATTTTATCTAATCTTTCCCAGTAGTTATACACTTGGGATGATAGCTCTATCGCCAAAGGGTAGCGTCCTGTGTCACCCCAAATTGCCGCATTTGATGTTTGTTTATTGACGTTGAGAGTCCACTTGAGAAACGAGATGTGAAGTTTTTCTAGTGGATCTTGCCTGATCTGTTTTAAGTTGGGAAAGTTACCCGATGAGAAGGTACCCATGAAGTATGTCTGAGGGAGCCAAATCTGGCATCCATAAGAGACTACTGGATATATACATATATATATATCGTCTCGCTTTATAGTTTATATATAGTAAGATATTCATGTTATTAAGTTAATGAAATTACGTTATACTGATACCAAGTTTGTTTCATTAGTCACCTTAGAGTATTTGATAGAATGATCACAGATTACAATTTAAACAATAAAGCGAGACGATAGTTTTCCGTGCCATTTTACTGACAACACGGCATCAACTTTAACGCGAATTTCCACAAAAACCATAAAAGATATACAACTGAAACCTTTTTGACTGGGTCAAATGCTTTAATGGCCTCCAAATCAGCATAAAAAAATAAAAATAGGCCAAGAAATAGGAGTTTTAGAGCCCAAAATTTGGTACCCCAAGTGGTGTCAAAAACGCGAATTAAATAGGTAATAATTATTTTAGCCTCTTGAGTCTTGACACCATTTTAAGGTTATACGGGTTCCTGCTAGTTTAAACAACTAAGTGCACTTTGCAGAAACTGCAGGGGGTTTCTTTAGAACCCCCCCCCCCCCTCTATTTTATGAGCATCTCTCTTAAAGTCAACATCAAGTTCAAAATAGCTGGCAATGTTAATTACCTGTCCACTACTTTTGACGTAGATCGCCTGTGATGACGCTGATTCATTATTTGTTTATGCTACGAAATCTATCAGATATCTACCTAACGCGAATTTGGACCTCACTGGGTCTTTACGAGCTGATAAGAACATGGAAACAAAATCATTGGAATTAATCACAACTACGTTACTGATCAGGCTCCAAGGGTGTACACAAATATAATGCTCTAATTCTGACGACCAAGTAGTTTCATTTGAGAATTTGGGTAATCAGCTATCTAATGCACATAACAGTGTGTTGTCGCATGTCCTCCTTTTTAAAAAGTCCTCCCCTATAACTTTACTATACTTTACTCTGTAATCGCCCAACAATTTTTAAAGTTATTTCCTCTAATAAGTGTTTCTTGACACATTTTGATAGTTTATGAAGAACAACCTACACATCCTACACATCCTACACATCCTACACACTACACATCCTACACATCCTACACATCCTACACATCCTACACATCCTACACATCCTACACATCCTACACATCCTACACATTCTACACATCCTACACATCATACACATCCTACACATCCTACACGACTATCATTTCTTTACACAGATCAGATAATCCTGTCTGAACACTAACCTCGTGATTACTGTTAAAATTGTTGCCAACTAGAAGGCCCTGCAAGTCTCATTTGTAAGTATCATCTTTCATTTAGAGACTGTGTCAAAATGTAGCAATGAGCTGTGTACATCAAGTTATGTCGTACACTTTGTAGACTCGATTTGAACGCTTCTCCGATATAATAGTTTGGCCAGTTGGTAGATCACCGACCGGCTATAAGCCGGCTACTAACCGGCTATAAGCCGGCTTATAGCCGGCTACAATTTTTATAGCCGGCTATAAGCCGGCTTATAGCCGGTTAGTAGCCGCTTACATTTGTTGTTGAGCGACGGCTATTAGCCGGTTATAAGCCTGCTATTAGCCGTTTTGGTATTAAAAGTGGTTATAAGCCGGCTATAAGCCGGTTATAAGATATTAACTCAACTACATCGTACTGAACGATAGTCAGGAGCCGGCTATAAGAAATTCAGTGAAAACGGCTATAAGCCGGCTATTAGCCGTTTAGGTATCGAAAGTGGTTATAAGCCGGCTATAATAAGCCGGTTATAAGATATTAACTCAGTTCAGTACGATGAAGTTAAGTTAATATCTTATAGCCGGCTTATAGCCGGCTTATAACCACTTTCGATACCTAAACGGCTAATAGCCGGCTTATAACCGGCTAATAGCCGTTTTCGCTGAATTTCTTATAGCCGGCTCCTGACTATCGTTCAGTACGATGAAGTTGAGTTAATATCTTATAACCGGCTTATAGCCGGCTTATAACCACTTTCGATACCTAAACGGCTAATAGCCGGCTTATAACCGGCTAATAGCCGTTTTCACTGAATTTCTTATAGCCGATACCTAAACGGCTAATAGCCGGCTTATAACCGGCTAATAGCCGTCGCTCAACAACAAATGTAAGCGGCTACTAACCGGCTATAAGCCGGCTTATAGCCGGCTATAAAAATTGTAGCCGGCTATAAGCCGGTTTATAGCCGGCTTATAGCCGGTCGGTGATCTACCAATTTCCCAATAATTATTTATTTTCAACTCTCAAGTTTGTTTTGACTAATAAGTTTGAGAACAAGAAAGGTCGAAATCGATTTAATTTAGCTAACCTGTTGATATCTGACATTAATTTCAGAAACTAAAGTTTCAGAAATGTTCAATATCTTTTCAAGCTTGGCGATTTGAACGGAAATAATTTACGAACACTTTTAATTACTTAGGTGACTCGTTAGTTTGACTAGCGGGATTAGTTTTAATTCTCTCCTAAAAGTTTATAGAGTGCAGAGCAAACATATTATTCATTCATCATCGTGCAATGGTGCTAGTAATTAGTAATAAGCCGCTTCTGATATTGTGATCACGTTTTTCTACTTGGGTGGCGCTGATGCGTTAGTTTTACAAGTGAAACTTTTTAAAGTTCATGTCACTTGTCGTGGTTTAATATATTTCTAAAGAGGTAAATGTCTTTACGCTGAGACTGGATTTTACTTTGATTGCGCTTTTGAATAACCTATTCGGTTTCGCACCGAAATGCATAACGTTAATGAAATACTTGCCATTTCAGTATTAAATCGGGGCGCTTTATAAGGGACACCAAAACCATTTTAAGTATGGTACTTTTAAATACCTGACAGATCAATACTGAAAGCGTTTTCGATTTTTGCGTAATTCTGGACTTGGTTACTAAGGTTGAGATCCTCGTTGTATGAGAACTCCAGGGACGTCCCACCGTAAGTGTAGCCCTCGCCTGCGAGTTAATATATTTTATGGGAAGTGGGGGATCAATGTTTTGCATTGTACAATGTACAATGTACAATGTACAATGTACAATGTACAATGTACAATGTACATGTTATATAAATACTGTGGTTCGTATTCTTGATCACTGAATGATTACTGGAATTTGGGATTTTATAATTTATGCTTCCCATCGCTTTCAAAATTAGTCATAAATAGGATTCTCTATTTGTCTCACAAATCTTAAGTTTGACGATTTTATCTTTGATACATGTAAAAATGACCCTTCGATTTTTTTCGGATATTAGCGCGGTAAACCTTATTGGATTTTACTGGATAACGTTTTAAAACTTGTTTCTGATAGCTTGAGGTAGCCAGTTCAGAGGAATTATTTAAATCTTTAATGAAACTTACTGCAGACTTGCTGTCCAAATGTTGCTGAGACTTTGAGGTCGCTTTTCTTAGGATCCAATAAATCTTTCCAGGAAAGAACAACTTTCGATTGATCTGAAAACGGAATTTTCAAACTCAAAGTACTCATTTAGAAGCCATTCATTTAGTATTCTTGTGGCGTTACATTTTTATTTAAATGGCAAGGGTTTAGGCCCTTGAGGTTTTGTTCGGCCGCCAAGCGACCGAACAAAATAGCCGTACCTACGTTCCACCTGCATTCTGAGGTGACCACCACGCAAGTTATAATATATATTCTAGCTTGAGAAGATAACTAACTAAAATCATTAGTCATTTCTGGCTCATTTAAGGAGTTAAGCGGGTGTTCTGGTTCTTTTGCGATAGTCAAAACGCGACAACTAGCGCTGGATGGCGACAACTAGCGCTATCCAGCGCTAGTTGTCGCCATCCAGCGCTAGTTGTCGCTATCCAGCGCTGGATAACGCTGGCCAGCGCAAAATATAAATGTTCGATAATTGTCGCTATCCAGCGCTAGTTGTCGCCATCCAGCGCTAGTTGTCGCCATCCAGCGCTAGTTGTCGCTATCCAGCGCTAGTTGTCGCTGGCTATGCGACACTGTCGCACGCGATAGTTTGCGATGGCCAGCGCAACTGGCCATCGCAGAAAACAGTTCGATAACTAGCGCTGGATAGCGCTACTCGTCAGCTATAGCGCTGGCCAGCGCTGGCCAGCGCTAGCCAGCGCTAGCCAGCGTTAGCCAGCGTTAGTCAGCGCTAGCCAGCGCTAGCCAGCGCTAGCCAGCGCTAGCCAGCGCTAGCCAGCGCTAGCCAGCGCTAGCCAGCGCTAGCCAGCGCAATGTATCAAAATCATATACTTGCCATATTACTAATACTCGGATGATGATTAATCACTTTACACTCGACTGTCACGTGACTTTTTTAACCCATTCTCTGACTCTAGCTGGTTCTGAACGACTTTTCGAAACCCTAAGGCTACCTAACCCTCTAATCTGATCCCAACCCTAACCCTAACCCAATCCTTAACAAAAACATATGCTGAAAGTGAAACCCTAACCCTAACGAGAAATTAGACTAACTTCCTTATACGGTCATATCACGTGATCGATACAGTTTTTCGCCAATATCTCGTCAGGAGAGCATTTTAACCCTATGTCATGGGGGTTGATTCGGAATTAGCGTTCGAAAATACATTGCATCAATTGAAGTTGGTTACAACCATCGGGGGCCATTTTAGAACAATCTCGAAGATCGACTGTAGAGTGATTTAGCACGCTCGATATTAGTATTACTCGTCAGCCAGCGCTAGCCAGCGCAATATAGTTGCGATATTACTCGTCAGCTAGCGATGGCCAGCGCTGGCTAGCGCTGGCTAGCGCTGGCTAGCGCTGGTTAGCGCTGGTTAGCGCTGGTTAGCGCTGGTTAGCGCTGGTTAGCGCTGGCTAGCGCTGGCCAGCGCTAGCTGACGAGTAATAGCGCAAAAATTTTGCGCTGGATATCGATGGCCAGCGCTACTGCTAGTTGTCGCTTTCCAGCGCTAGTTGTCGCTATCCAGCGCTAGTTATCGAACTGTTTTCTGCGATGGCCAGTTGCGCTGGCCATCGCAAACTATCGCGTGCGACAGTGTCGCATAGCCAGCGACAACTAGCGCTGGATAGCGACAACTAGCGCTGGATGGCGACAACTAGCGCTGGATGGCGACAACTAGCGCTGGATAGCGACAATTATCGAACATATATATTTTGCACTGGCCAGCGTTATCCAGCGCTGGATAGCGACAACTAGCGCTGGATGGCGACAACTAGCGCTGGATAGCGCTAGTTGTCGCCATCCAGCGCTAGTTGTCGCGTTTTGACTATCGCAAAAGAACCGGTGTTCTAACATCTGTTTTATTAAACATTATGTGAATATTAATAAAATTCCTCCAGAGAACTCCCTATACTATTGATTGACGGATTATACGCGTTAAAATTGGTTCGTTGTGAGCGGACAACCAACCTATTGAGGAATCCAGAACAATTCAAAATTATGTTAAAACTTGATATATATTCAATACTTAGGGTTGGAAAAACAAAAGTATGGTAGCCACGTATGCTGGCATATATTATACAGTTTATATTATATATTTGACCAAAACCCATAATCATGGGTAGAGTGAACCGCTGCCAGTGTCTCTCTTTTCCAAACAAAAGAAAATGATATTAATTTGAGGAACCGTCCGCAAATGCAAATTGATACCGAGAATGAAATCGGTCGCTCGCTTTTCCCATTCAATAAGCTTTATTACAATACGTAAGCCGTGAATGAATGGGAAAAGCGAGCGACCGATTTCATTCTCGGTATCAATTTGCATTTGCGGACGGTTCCTCAATTTAATATCATTTTCTTTTGTTTGGAAAAGAGAGACACTGGCAGCGGTTCACTCTACCCATGATTATGGGTTTTGGTCAAATATCATCTCTTTTTGATTATAATGTCAGGATAATTTACACAGTCGAAACTTAATAAGGAGGTAATTTCAACGATTTCGAAATTTTACCTTTGAAAATGTTTCCTTGTGTTTAGGTAGGCTTATCTGTCAATAACAGACTGAATATAGCACTTTTTACTCATTCAAGTTGGCATTAAATTCATATATAATGCCATTTTAATATCGTGGGAAAGCAGAATATATTCGAAATCACGAATGAGCAAAATTCTCACCTTTCGCACGTGCAAACTTTGAGCGGACGTTGCGTGCGCATAAAATATTGAATCACCATAAATTTTTGCATAGTGTTATTTAATATATAGTTTGATAAGCATGAAAAGTTTCAGAAGATTTCAAAAAGAACCTGGATCACAACGGGACTCCAAAGTTGGTAAAAATCGTGAAAATAACAATTTTTAGTGATTTTAGCTATTTTAAATGAATTTGGGCGTGTCCCCACGTGTGCAACTTTTCGATTTTCAACTTTAAAACTAGCCTATAACACAATTTAGACCTTTAGGAAGCAAAATTGAGCTCCACAACCCAAGGGATGGCCCAACACCAGAGAATACTAATTCACAACTTTTGTGTTTTTATAAAATTATTCTTCAAAAAAGCACAAACTTCAATAGCGAATATCTTTATGAAGGAGCAAAGTAGGAAAACTTTCCGGTAGATTTTCAGAATGCTTGAACAATTATCTAAGGTGAAAATGTCCTCAGATTTTGAATAAAATTACTCCTTAATGCTTTAAAATCGATTTGAAAAGTTATTATTTTGTCAAAAATCAAGTTTTAAAAACACTTAAATTGATGACGTCATCAAGTGATGATGATGACGATAAATTATTTTTCGATATAATGTAAACTAAAGTATAAACAATTATCTTTAAAACCTGTGTTTCGAAATGACTGTATCTTTTAAACTTTTGAATCTACGGACACTTAAATGTAGGCTACAATTTACTGCAAAAGCGTCTATACATATCACAGTGCTGGCAAGCACGAGCGGTGTCTTTATTGGGGGTATACTATGTACCCCCTTTACTATTCCATCCCCTTTACTATTATACCCCCTTTGGTACACGTCGGAAGCCTCTTTCGTGCACGCGAAGCGTGCACTCCGGCTGGAGGCGGCGGCCGAAGGCCGACGCCTCCGGCAGGAGTTTTTCAGGCATTAAGACTCATCGGAAGTCGTTCAGCAGATTTATTTTTAGTTCAAAATATTCTAATTTGATGTCAAAGATGTCAGAAATAAGAAATAGTTATGTTGAGAAATTTAAAAAATTTGCATAAAATACTCGCCAGCACTGTTATACGAAATTCGGTAAAAAACCCGAAATCGCCATATTCAGGTGCCTTAAAAACCATGTTAAAATTGAGTTAGAGATCTGAAACTTTGCAGGGCGTCTAGACGTTGACCTAATCGACTGTAAAAAAAGTTTCAAGTTTCAGGAGCATCGGGAAATTGGTTTTCTAGAACCCCTGTTTTACGACAGATTGTCGTGATATATACATACATATATATATACATATATACATATTTAACCAAAACCCATAATCATGGGTAGAGTGGACCGCTGTCAGTGTCTCTCTTTCCCAAACAAAAGGAAATGATATTACTTTGATTGACCGTTCTCAAATGCAAAATGATACCGAGAATGAAATCGGTCGCTCGCTTTTCCCATTCATTCACGGCTTACGAATTGTAATAAGTTTCGATTGATTACATCAATCAGATGCTGTAAAAATCTCTTTGGGTTGCGTTCGGGTCGATACCTAGTATTTCGGGGTAAGGGTGGTAGTTATTAGTATTACTTATTGAATTAGCTGAAGTTTATTGAATCTTCATTGCCGAGTACAGCTGCCTTTGGGTAGTTCTTCTTAATCTATTACAATTGTAAATGAATGGGAAAAGCGAGCGACCGATTTCATTCTCGGTATCATTTTGCATTTGAGAACGGTCAATCAAAGTAATATCATTTCTTTTGTTTGGGAAAGAGAGACACTGACAGCGGTCCACTCTACCCATGATTATGGGTTTTGGTTAAATATCATCTCTTTTTGATTATAATGTCAGGGTACTTTATAAAGTCGAAATATAAACTGATATCTTCATTAATAAGGAGGAAGTTTCAACGATTTCGAAATCTATCCTTTAAAAACATTTCCTTGTGTTTAGGGAAGCATATCGGTCGATCACTGACTGAATATGCCACTTAATACTCATTCAAGTTGGCATTAAATTCATATATAATGACATTAAACTGTCGTGGCAAAGCAGAATTTGTTGGAAATAACGAATGAGCAAAATTCTCACCTTTCGCACGTGCAAACTTTGAGCAGACGTTGCGTGCGCATCCAATATTGAATCGCCGTAAATTTTTGCATGTAATTGTTTTATATATAGATTGATAAGCATGCAAAGTTTCAAAGTATTTTAAGAAGAACTGTAATCACAACGGCACTCTAAAGTTGACAGAAAATGACGAAAACAGCAATTTTCAGTGATTTTAGCGATTTTCTATCAATTTGGGCGTGTCCCAACGTGTGCAACTTTTCGATTTTCAACTTTAAAACTAGCCTATGACACAATTTATACCTATAGGAAGCAGAACTGAGCTCCACAACCCAAGGCATGGCCCAACACCAGAGAATACTAAATCGCAAAATTGACGTTTTTATAAAATAATTCTTCAAAAAAGCACAAACTTCAATGACGAATATCTTTATGAAGGAGCAAGCTAGAAAAACTTTCTGGTAGATTTTCAGAATGCTTGAACAATTATCTAAGATAAAAATTTCCTCAGATTTTGAATAAAATTACTCCTTAATGGTTTAAAATTAATTTTAAAAGTTATTACTTTGTCAAAAATCAAGTTTTAAAAACGGTTAACTTGATGACGTCATCAAGGGGTGTTTATGACGTCATATAATTTTTTATACAATGTAAACTAAAGTATAAACAATTATTTGCAAGACCTGTGGTCGGAAATGGCTGTATCTTTTATACTTTTGAATCTATGGACAATTAAATACAGGCTACAATTGACTGGCAAAGCGTCTATCCCTGAATATATATATATATGTATATAATATGTATCACGACAATCTATCGTAAAACAGGGGTTCTAGAAAACCCACTTCCCGATGCTCCTGAAACCTGAAACTTTTTTTGCAGTCGATTTGGTCAACGTCTAGACGCCCTGAAAAATTTCAGATCTCTAACTCAATTTTAACATGGTTTTTAAGGCACCTGAATATGGCGATTTTGGGTTTTTTACCGAATTTCGTATAACAGTGCTGGCGAGTATTTTATGCAAATTTCTTAAAAATCTCAACATAACTATTTTTATTCCTGTCATCTTTGACATCAAATTAGAATGTTTTGAACTAAAAATAAATCTGCTGAACGACTTCCGATGAGTCTTAATGCCTGAAAAACTCCTGCCGGAGGCGGCGGCCTTCGGCCGCCGCCTCCGGCCGGAGTGCACGCTTCGCGTGCACGAAAGAGGCTTCCGACGAGTACCAAAGGGGTTATAATAGTAAAGGGGGTATAATAGTAAAGGGGGTACAATAGTAAAGGGGGTACATAGTATACCCCCAATAAAGACACCGCTCGTGCTTGCCAGCACTGTGATATATATTCAGGGATAGACGCTTTGCCAGTGAATTATAGCCTGTATTTAAGTGTCCGTAGATTCTAAAGCTTTAAAGATACAGCCATTTCGGACCACAGGTCTTGAAGATAATTGTTTAGACTTTAGTTTACATTATGTTAAAAAGTAATTCAACGTCATCATCACCACTTGATGACGTCATCAAGTTAACCATTTTTAAAACTTGATTTTTCACAAAGTAATCATTTTTCAAATCGATTTTACGCCATTAAGGAGTAATTTTATTCAAAATTTGAGGACATATTGAAGTTAGATAATTGTTTAAGCATTCTGAAAATCTACCGGAAAGTTTTTCTAGCTTGCTCCTTCATAAAGATATTCGCTATTGAAGTTAGTGCTTTTTTAAAGAATAATTTTATAAAAACGCTAATTTTACGTTCTAGTATTCTCTGGTGTTGCACCATCCCTTGGGTTGTGGAGCTCAATTTTGCTTCCTAAAGGCTCTAAATTGTGTCATAGGCTAGTTTTAAAGTTGAAAATCGAAAAGTTGCACACGTGGGGCCACGCCCAAATTGATAGAAAATTGCTAAAATCACTGAAAATTGCTGTTTTCACCAATTTCCGTCAACTTTGGAGTGCCGTTGTGATTACAGTTCTTCTTGAAATACTTTGAAACTTTGCATGCTTATCAAACTATATATAAAACACCATCATGCAAAAATTTACGGTGATTCAATATTGGATGCGCACGCAACTTCCGCTCAAGGTTTGCACGTGCGAAAGGTTAAAATTTTGCTCATTCGTGATTTTGAACAAATTCTGCTTTGCCACGACAGTTCAATGTCATTATATATGAATTTAATGCCAACTTCAATGAGTATAAAGTGGCATATTCAGTCAGTGATCGACCGATATGCTTACCTAAACACAAGGAAATGTTTTCAACGGAAAAATTTCGAAATCGTTGAAATAACCTCCTTATTAATATTAATGAAGTTATGAGTTTAAATTTCGGCTTTGTAAAGTACCCTGACATTATAATAAAAAAGAGATGATATTTTACCAAAACCCATAATCATGGGTAGAGTGGAGCGCTGCCAGTATCTCTCTTTCCCAAACAAAAGGCAATGATATCAATTTGAATGACCGTTATCAAATGCAAAATGATACCGAGAATGAAATCGGTCGCTCGCTTTTCCCATTCATTTACAATTGAAATAGATTACATGTTATAAATCGAAACTTATTACAATTCGTAAGCCATGAATGAGTGGGAAAAGCGAGCGACCGATTTCATTCTCGGTATCATTTTGCATTTGATAACGGTCATTCAAATTGATATCATTGCCTTTTGTTTGGGAAAGAGAGATACTGGCAGCGCTCCACTCTACCCATGATTATGGGTTTTGGTAAAATATATAATATATATATAGCTTCACGACAATCTGTTGTAAAACAGGGGTTCCAGAAAACCCACTTCCCGATACTCCTGCAACATGAAATTTTTTTTACAGTCGATTTGGACAAGGTCTAGACGCTCTGCAAAGTTTCAGATCTCTTACTCGATTTTAACATGGTTTTTAAGGCACCTGAATATGGCGATTTTGGGTTTTTTACCTAATTTCGTATAACATGCTGGCGCGTATTTTGCGCAAATTTCTTCAAAACCTCCACATAACTATTTCTTATTCCTGTCATCTTTAACATTGAATTAGAATGTTTTGAACTTAAATATACCTGCTGAACTACTTTCGATGAGTCTTAATGCCTGGAAAACAATAAAGGGGATATAATAGTATAGGGGGTACATAGTGTTGTGAATATGAGGGCAACGGTTATGCTTGCCAGCATTGTGATTATACGGAAGTTGTAAAATGTATTATTTAAGACATGCGTTAAAATAGGATACATTTTATTCCTCATCCTTGATATTACCTAATACAGTTGAGCATCCGTTATACATTTTGTTGAAGGTCACTTCGTCGACGTTTTCATTGAATAGTGTTAGCCCCATTACATCTCCCTGTAATAATCAGAGTGTAATTTTGCTTATGTCACTACTCACTAGAATATGCAATCATGAACTTGACTCTGTTGCTTGGCTAGTCTTAATGATTTATGATGGAAGATGTGATCTTCAGCTGTGTTCGCTCACTGATAATCCAAATATAAATTTGCTTATGTCACTATTAGTAGACGTAACTACAGTTGTGATCACAATTCGGTTCGTGATCACAACTTAAATGCAGTGTTACTGTTAATAGTACAGTCTTAATGCGGAGTAGTTATAAGGTTTTGTAACTACATACTATGGAAAATGTGTGTTTCTGATCGGTAAACTTAGCGTTTGTGATCCATTCTCTTTTATAAAAAAATTGTTGTACATTTTTCCAGCATTTAGCTGAAGTTTACAGATTTATGACATATGAATAGTTGGGGGGGGGGGGGGGGGGCGGGGTGGTACACGTTTGTTATGACACGTGAGTCGTGACCTCCGTACTATTGTTAAAGACGGTTAAAGACGTTTGAAAAGGTATGATTTGTCATAAAGGTGGCACGGCCAGAAATGTTCAACCCGAGGCTATAGTAACCATAGTAACCGTAGTAACCGTAGTAACCATAGTAACCATAGTAACCATAGTAACCATAGTAACCATAGTAACCATAGTAACCATAGTAACCATAGTAACCATAGTAACCATAGTAACCATAGTAACCATGGTAACCATAGTAACCATGGTAACCATAGTAACCATAGTAACCATAGTAACCATGGTAACCATAGTAACCATGGTAACCATAGTAACCATAGTAACCATAGTAACCATAGTAACCATAGTAACCATAGTAACCATAGTAACCATAGTAACCATAGTAACCATAGTAACCATAGTAACCATAGTAACCATAGTAACCATAGTAACCATAGTAACCATATTAACCATAGTAACCATAGTAACCATAGTAACCATAGTAACCATAGTAACCATAGTAACCATAGTAACCATAGTAACCATAGTAACCATAGTAACCATAGTAACCATAGTAACCATAGTAACCATAGTAACCATAGTAACCATAGTAACCATAGTAACCATAGTAACCATAGTAACCATAGTAACCATAGTAACCATAGAGTCCCGATACGTCTGATCATAGACTGTCATATTATATTAGTGTCCCTCCAGATAATTGCAAAGGAGTTATCGTTTGTTTTATTCCAGCTAAACATGCCTTACTCCACATTTTCACCTTACCGAGAAAGATGGGGGAAATTGCTGGTTAATGATTCAGTCTACCTACTCAAAAGGGGGAATCTGAATTGGAGTTGCTGACAGCAATCGAAATTTCAGGTAATTAAATCCAAATTGCTGCGTAGATCTGTAAACGAAATTTGATATCAGCATTATAACAATGTCACTTTTGAGCACTAAAATCGACATGATTGGTTGGGATCGTACTTTTGTATAGTTTCCTTGGTTATACTTAAAGCAATTTTTGCACGATACAAGCGATGACTTACGAGGGATATCTAAATAAAATCGCCAATTTTCAGGTATTTAAATCCAAATTGCTGCGTAGTATTAGACGCTTTTGCGTAAAATATATATATATATATTTTTTAATTTTGGAAGCGATTTTACAAATAAGGTGAAGGGATTGTTAATTTTAAACTTCCTTTGTGTTACTAATACTACCCCTTTGTGAAAGAACCCTTACATCTTTCCTCAGAATTGTTAACCCTCTCTCACCTTGTGAAAGGAAGCTCCTTCACTATTTGCCATTTATACAGGGATCTGAAAGCTTGGTAGTTTACCGTTTGTATAGTTATTTTGCCATAGTAATTGTTTCTAGTTCTCGGTAGTTCGTCAGCTTAGACACAATGCCGTCTCTAACTACATACATTCTTGGCTTATATCCCTTCAACTCTAGTACCTTCTTGCCTAATATCCCGGCAACTTTCCAACGAATCTTCTGGGGCTTCGCTGATATAAACGCAGCTGAACAATTTAATCGAATATTTTGTGGTCTTTGATCTCATGGACCATCTCTTTGAGGGATTGTTTTTGAGATTGAGTATTCTGAAGAATAGAGATTTAAAAAGTTCTAGAGATTCGTTGTACAACTAACGGTTCTGGGGAATAACATAAATTTGAGTTGCTCAATATTGAAACAAGATCCCACAACACACCAAATGTGCGGGTTTGCACCAAATGTGCGGGCTTGCACCGCCGATCCAGTAAGAGTAAGTCGCATTGTTGAGTTAGATACTATGGTTACTATGGTTACTATGGTTACTATGGTTACTATATTAACTGAGTGCGAGATAGATGCATGTCTCCTCTTATGACTGCAAGGATTTGGTGTTTCCCTGAGTTACGTAGAAACAAAACGTATTCGTCTCATTTTAAGACAGATTTGTGGTGAATTCGTTCTATAGCTTGAAATTTTGTGAGTGTGACAGATCTGTATTCAGTAACAGCTATTTGATATCAGCATTTGATAAGTATATTCAAGCGAAATAACAGTGTCGCTTTTGAGCACTAGAATCGACATGATTGGTTGGGATCGTACTTTTGTATAGTTTCCTTGGTTATAATACTTAAAGCAATTTTGCACGATACAAGCGACATCTTACGAGCGACTAATTAAATTTGCAAATTTAAATATTTGCTGTTTGTGCAACCGAAAATATCCGTATTAAAGTAACCTAATCGTGTTGATATACTTTATTTACGGTGACAAATTTATTAATCATACATAATGATAAATTACCAGGTACGGTACGTGTTATTTCTAATAATTTCCAGATAGGAAGCTCCAAATATTACTATGCAAGTAATACTCAGCCGAAGCTAATTCATCTATTTGTAGGAGTTCTTGAAGTTGAACGTAATACATGTTTAATCTACTATCCGATGATTGGAAAATGATTCTGTGCGAGAGTCGTGGCTTAGTTCTAACCGCGTGGAAGTCTCTAAAATTGGTTGATATTTGACCAGATGGCTGATAATGAGATAGGATTGCACGACGTTTTTTCACCATGTGAAACTACCACCTTATTTGGTGAATACGAAACTTACCAAGATTTGCATTGACACCCACTTAAATCTTAAATCCTATCAAGATTATTCCCCGCATCAAATATTGACTATAGTATTTGAATAATCGTACTTGATCTTGTCAATATCTCAAATCTGGTGATCTATTACCTTCAGTAATACATTGTCAGCAACTCAATTGATTTAGAACCTCTAAAGTTTATACTAGATGACGTGATCGTACCTCTAGTGATCCGATGTCGTTGAAGCCCATCTCAACCACGTCTTCCTTCCACAAGTTACCGAGTGCCAGCTTCCCCCCTGTTGCTCTAACCTTTAAACCTTTCGATAGCGGCAAAATCTCTGAGAGGAATAAACGATTGAAATTGATTTTCAGAAGGACGTAATTGACCTTTTAAAAACAAATCAATTTTATTTGTCTCAGTCTGAAACCGTTCTTTATGACACCCAACATTTAAGTGGACCGGGGATTATTAACAAAAAACAGCTGAAAAATTCTAATCTAGCGATTTTCAATGTTCGGCTTACCGGTAAAAACTTCATGTTGTTCGTCTCCTTTCTTTCTTAGGATGACCTTGGCTTCTCCTGTCTCACTGTTCCAGTTGGCACAGAAGAATCTCCAACTGTCGTCCTTTAGAGCGATCTTTGGGACAAGTCCATGGTCGGTGTGGAGTCCAGCCATTGTGAAGTGAATGTGACTCTGAAGCAGATAAACATGATACAACTAGAATAGCTCCTTGCAGTAAGGGCATTTTCCCTTTATTTTTCTGGCGGTTGGCATTTCTTCTCTGGTGTGGCAAGGTTTATAAATATAAATGTGGTGATTGTGGTTTGGCCCTACCGTGTGTGTATCGAATCTGAGAGCGTTCCAATGATCTTCATTAGCCATACTGAAAATAGACCCGACGGCATCCTTAGTCCTCAGCCAGAAGCATAGAGCTAGTTCTGTCAACTCTGTGATATTTGAACGTTTTAGTTGCTCTACTTACGGTACATTTTTAATAAATTAATAGTAACAATCATTGCTGAGTCACAGATCAGTCAATAACTAATGGTTGTGAACGCTGACAATGTAGCTCTCTCTAATATTCTATCATTCAATAGTATCAGTATCTGATGTACCTTCGGCAAACGGCTCGTCTACAATAACGTAGCTTGAGAGCGTACCCTCAAAATGAGCAACTTTGTTGTCGAATTCCTTCAACTTTTCTTCCGTCTGAAAAGATTTATGATCTTGAAACGAGCATTTTTTTTCATTGATATCAGTAACTCAATGACACTATAAGCGTATTATTTGAGTAATGTCCTGGAACATGTTTATTATTTTGTGAGGATGCTGAAAGAGTGGACTAAGGTTCTCTTTACGTTTGTGTCTTGTATGTTAATACATTGACTGACATTTCCCGGTTAAGATATATGATGTAATGAAACCATGGTGTTGATGCATTACCATATCGAGGTATAGTGATGCAAATGGTTCATTAGTATCTCAACTATTAAATAAATGAGCCAGAGATCTCAAAGGCCAAGGAAGCAATATGTGTCAAATTTTCCTTCTAATATATCAAAATAATGTTATTTTATGGCAGCTTTGGTGACTTATAACGCTTTTTGTTAATTTGTAATTCGTGCTTGCTGAGGTGACGCATAGATCATACTTCATATTCCAAAATAGCAAAATGATGCAATGTACGCCACTTTATAGAACACGTTTCTTGGGGCATAGTGGATTCATTTTATGTGTGATTTTGTACTGAGAATATATCTACATTAATCTGTATCTGTAAACCTACCAGATTATTGTAAAGAAAACTGACTTATTTCCTTGGCAACTATATGCAGAATGATAAAACTGTAAACCCAAACCTGGGTAACACTAAAAGCACAAATACTCATATCAAAGGAATGTAGCTACCTGGCAGCTGTAACTAGCAAGATCTGTTTCAGTCTGACACGTGACATCCTTTGTCTTGCTGTGATCAGGAAAGAACGTATCAGTGACGTCACTGATACACCTCAAAGTGATAACCTGAAGTTTTGATTAGTTTCATTTGTCATTTTTATAACATATCAATACCAGAGTCTTGTAGTTGTTTGATCTTCACGAGCCAATATTATGTAAAATAATGATAAACTAAGATCGTAGGTGGCCGATATAACGAGATTGGTGCGTATGACGCACAGATTGCTTCATGAATCAAGTTAAACGGATATATAACATATATTATATAAGTTTAGTATATATAAGTTTAGTATATATAACATATATTATATAAGTTTAGTATATATAAGTTTAGTATATATAAGTTTAGTATATATAATATATATTATACAAGTTAACATTATAATAACCTCTGAGGGTGAGACGTGCTCATTTGCAGATCTGTTCACGTACTCGACGTTTAGTGACGCAGTAAAATCGTTTAAGTAGCAGCCTGCAGAAATATTTGCGATCCTTTGACGCATCAAACGGCAGTTTCCAGTAATGGGTTAGCAGATCAAATGGAATAGTTTAGATTATTCCACCATAAAGATGCTTTTACAGATCAATTATCTAGTGCTGAGTTCATAAATCCTTGGGCTTGGTGCTATCTAGAATAAAACCAATCTCTCAGTATAAACTGGTACTATTCCCTACGTATTTTCAATAATGAAGATCAATTTTGTTCTGATAAAACCAGTTTATGTTTTGAACATTAATTAACAGAAGTGCTTGTCTAACAATAACATACCACATATCTCCCCGCTCCACTTCAATATTCCCTGACATTCCACCTCCGAGGTGGTCACCTGTGTGATCATCTGTCGTATCAAATCAAATTATTTGTCATTATGTTAATAAATCATGATATGCAAGTTTTAATTTTTAAAGTTTTGAAACCGTTTTAAACCCGGTCCCCAAACAAAACAAACAAACCTCCTCCCGGCCCGTCAGAGTTAGTCTGTAGTGAACTGTAACGCTTGTTTCATTACTTGTAGTGGCATTTCCGATGAAGTCTATCGGACCGTACTGCTTGTCCGGCTCGCTTTCAGCTTCACATCTGTTTAGGGAATCGTGTTTAAAGTTTAGATAAACCTTGATCGTGAGCACATAACTAGTGTTTTGAAGGCTTGTATTTGTTCTAGAACAAGTATTACCGGACATAAAGTTCACTTCTTTGTCCTATGTTCATACACGTGTATTCCAAATAAGAGCAACTGTACTCAGTGTCAATAGCTGCTTCCAACTCCTGAAAAACAGAGAAGATGATGAATCTATTTTCCAGAACATGTGCATGTCTTTTTTTAATGATAAATATATTAAATAAATATATATATTAAATCTGATTATATTATTAAATCATTTCAAAACTGTATCTACAGCTGGCAAGGTTTTAAGTTTATATCATATCGTTAATCGTCAGCTCGCTTGTTATGAATCAATGCGAAGAGAACCAGGGAAGAAATTATCATTTCCTGGTGTGTTTCAAAACAACTCACATCAAAGTGCTGGTATCCCTCGTTGCAGATACGCTGTTTTTCTTCCCCCACTGTACCCTCAACTTTGAGACGTAGAAGATAGGTGCAGCTTGATATGGTGACAAGGACTGAAATTAAGAAGCTTTAGTGAAGTTTACCCAGTAATATAAGTGAAGTGTGATCAGATTGTTTGATCGAGTGTTAGTGTAACAGAAAATTAATGGGGAGACTGCAATTTTGAATTTATAAATTTACGACCTACAAAATGTAAGAACATTAAAAACATTAGATACTGGCTGGACGAGTATATCGCCCTTTTTCGCTATTACTGTAATCAGTTCTTACCTGATATAGCGATTAAATGCAGTGGGTTGGGTACCATACTGTGTAACCACAGAGACTATTTCAATCCCTTATTAGCCTTGGATGAAGCTGATAGTGGATATGATAATTTATTTGCTATGCTTATCGTCAATTTAAAGGGCTTGATTTCAAATCTTTTTTGCGTCCCTCAAATCAGCATTCACACTATGACTATAAAGAAGAATTAAATCCAAAAATTGTACACCAATACACAATGTCCAATGTTCATATAGTATCCCAGATACTATCCCAGATAACAGCAAAGCCTGATTTAATCAGATCAACATTTAGAACAATAAAAAGTTCTAAACAGAATCTAAGAGCAAGGTTTATCGAATGGCGCATCTTTTCAATGACAGAATATTGGACCGCTTCTTAAACAAATGGTAAGTATGAAATCAAAATATATGTCAGGGACGGACTAGATATAATAAAAAGCACTTGTTAAGATATTGACTTTTGTATTAGCTGTTTCGGACAATTCTTCATGTGCTTATGCGGGTGGCGGCCAATGATTCATGATTAATCGAAAGACGAAACTATGATTTCGCTTTTCAAACCTGAGCAACGGTAATCAATCAACTCTCGCAGACTTGAAAATTGATAAAAATGCAACAAAATGAAATAAACTTTACAGTTTAGGGCCACATTCTGTAGAATAGCATTTGTTGTCTCATTTTGCTACTCAAGACATGATTTGCAGCATTTTCTCTAAAGCACTGGTCGATTCTTCGCATAAGGTTCTAGGCGGCTTACCAAATGTATCCTGTGATCTGTTCTGTAGGAATGTTTTCACGTTATTTTTACAGTTATATCAATGACAATATGGTGCCGACTAGTACTACCAGTCGTCTTTATGCTACATTAAAGTACTCATCGGGAGATTTGTGGTAATCTCAAGGGCCGTACTATACAAATACAACTTTTACAATCCTGTAGAATGGCAGATTGTAGCAGCTTTATTCGGTAGAACTGGAATATCAAAAGAAAGAGGCTATTTGCTCTGATAAGCTCATTTTCTTCTGTGGCAAAAGTCTTCGTTGCATGTTTTCTGAGCATTAGCTTAACTTATATTAACTTATTAGCTTATACAGGGTGGCCCATAAGTGACTACCCACACGCAACCTCTTAATAACTCACGTAATTCGTCTCCAAATTGCACCAAAATTTCAGAGATTATAGATATGGGTCAAACTTAGATTTCCTGAAAGTTTCGTAAGCCACGCCCAATTACAGTGGGCGTGGCGTGACACTCCCTCTTTTTCACTATTGTCTTCATAAAATGAGAACGCTTTAAGCTAAGAACTCAAATTTTTTTGCACACATTTGGCTTGATAATTGAAAACTTTTCCCAAAGTTTCAAGTTCATTGGTTAAAATATGGCTAAGTTATGAGCATTTCAAAACTCATCAGATACGTGATCCGAGCACTCAGTCAGTGATCTCGTCACTTGGTTAATGGCCTGTTTGGCTCACATGCACCGCTTGATTGGTTGCAGCCTGCTTATGGGCCGGCCTATACAGCTGACAGCACCTATAGGTGGAATCCTAGGACCTTACTTTTACGAAGAAAACGGAAGTAGAGTGACAGTCAACGGAGTTCGCTATATGGATCTGCTGGAGAACAAGTTTTATCCTGATCTGTCGCAGTTCTCCTTCAACAACCCCTACCTCACCACGGACTTCTTCCTGTGGGGGTGGGTGAAGGACCAACTCTATAAGAGATATCCTATTGCAAACATCACGCAGCTAAAGCACCACCTGATCGACATCATCCATAATATGGACCCAGCGTTTGCTACGAACGCTTGTCGGAGTGTGAAGAAGCGGTGCCTCAAGGTGATTGCAGCTGGGGGACGACAATTTGAACATCTTAATTGAAATTATTGAATTGTGTGGGAATTTTTATTAGTTGATTTCATTTATTGATTTATCCTAAAAATTTGTGTTTTCCTTTCTAGCAAAGTCATCATCGGTATCCAATCAAAGCCTAATGAACCTCATTAATACACGCTAACGCCTTACTCTTGATCAGATTGGGTGACGAGATCACTAATTGAGTGCAAATATCACTGACTGAGTGCTCGGATCACATATCCGATGGATTTTAAGATGGTCATAACTCAGCCATATTTTAACCAATGAACTTGAAACTTTTGGAAAAGTTTTCAATTATCAAGCCAAATGTGTGCAAAAAATTTTGAGTTCTTAGCTTAAAGCGTTCTCATTTTATGAAGACAATAGTGAAAAAGAGGGAGTGTCACGCCACGCCCACTGTAATTGGGCGTGGCTTACGAAACTTTCAGGAAATCTAAGTTTGACCCATATCTATAATCTCTGAAATTTTGGTGCAATTTGGAGACGAATTACGTGAGTTATTAAGAGGTTGCGTGTGGGTAGTCACTTATGGGCCACCCTGTATGTGTGCGGAATTATAAGCATCACATGACTGACGTTATAATAGAAATAGTAAGAATTAATAGAAGGTACAATGAGATGTTTGATTCTAGATAGTGAATAATAGAAGCGATCACCAAGAATCAAGATTCAAAATACAATCTGTAACTTGAAAGTGGACTCGAAAATTTGGACCAAAATCTGTTCTGACAATGTCACTACTTTTCTTGCCGAATTTTTACTGAGAAGGTGCATCATTACAGTTTATCATAAAATTTGAGTATAAGAAATACTCTCGAACACACTAGATCAAATTAAAATCGGGCTCTAACAATGTATTATGTCATACCTACAGCACAGTCACCATCTAAGAATTTTGGAAGAGCACCAAAAATGATATTTTTTTTCGGATCATAAAAAATTCCAACCCTTGAAGTGGTGATCTTATTCCTCTATGGAAGATGATGTAATTTTACTGGTGACCAGTGTGTGACCAGTGTGTGACCAGTGTGTGACCAGTGTGTGACCAGTTGGTGACAACCTTTTACTTCTCTCGTACCAAGCCATTTAAGAAAAGTACCAAAACCCAAAAACGCAAACAACTGAAATATATTAGCGGAGATAATTATTTTCGCAACAATTATGCAGCAATTATACATACAGTAGCAGATGGTTCCCCAGTGAATCCTCTTTGAAGTGCCCTATTCCACAATCTTACATCAAACGCCTGATCGACGACAAAGTCACCAGACTAAATCAGGAAACCTGGTTAACTGATGGTCCCAGACACACTAAACTGACACTCGGTCACAAACACATCAACATCATCAAAAATCTTAACACTACACTCAGCAACAACAGACAAATTACAGAACTGCAGTGCACTTCATCACGGGACATTGTGGCCTTAACAAACACCTCCATACCATTCGCAAATCAGACACAAGTGCTTGTCCTATGTGCAGCTTTCAAGTCCACTTTCTAGGACAGTATCCGGCTATTGCCCAAATAAGAGGTCAATATTTCCAGGAATATTACCTCTCCGTCAATGACATATTCGACAATCAACATATCTCCACTATTACCAACTTGGCAAACCGCACCAAACGCTTAATTGTGCCAGAGGAGCTGGACCAGTCACCAGACCGGTGTGACATAGCGACTACTCACACGTTGTCTTAGTTCACATTTCTCTTCCACACTAAGCTGCCACTTAAGCGTTCATTTATGACACATCTCTTAACATTTACCATCAACTTACACTACACATTCTGATTTCTCCGGCATCCTCCCATAGGACTGCCATACCCCAGAGGTAGGCAAAGCATCCATATGCTATCCTATCGTTGGCCACCCAGGCCCAGCCTCTCTTAAAAAAGAAACAAAAATATGGTTCTCCACCATGGCGCGTGCTCGCTACTATGGTAGAGCAGTTACCAGGTGCAATTTCCAGGTGCAGTAGATTTCAGCTTATAAAGTTATAACAGGGTGTGTGCATTGTAGACTTGCATTGAGATGTTAATCACAGTTCAGAGCGATAACAGATCCACCTGGCTGGTCCTTGGTCTTTAACAGCTCATTTTAGGTTGTTCGTTGAATTTTAAAGTCTGAACAAAAAAGAATATATAATATATATCCTCATGGTATCATCTTATCCAACACAAATTACGACTTGACTAATGCAACTCAGGAATATTGATATAATGTTATCGTTTCCAGTAAAATTAAATAATAAGACCATGTTTGGTTTATTACGGAAAGAAGCTTATAAGTGCTTTTAAACAGTTCAGTTGATTCGGTTGGGATTTTGGAAAGAGAAAGAGAAAGTTCATCAATGGACAAATTATATAAACATAGCAAATAGTGTTTTATTCGTTTATGTTGGTATCTTTCTTTAGCTTCATTTCGGAACATGACAGATAATTTTACTACTGCTAACAACGGTCTACGACTCTTCGCACTCTTCATTCTGCAGGAGTTTTACAATTTAACACGTGTCTTATTCCGCAAAACTATAAGCGTAACACTGTCCCCGGCTGATAAAAAACCTGTGTTCCATTTGATAATGTCCTAAGGATTCCTGTTACTTCCCGGAGAAAGACTTAAATACAGGTCGGAAAAACACACAATTGGGAAATAGTAGATGAGACAAGGAGGAGAATGTTCGGCTGTAGACAGGAAATAGTAGATGAGACAAGGAGGAGAATGTTCGGCTGTAGACATGAAATAGTAGATGAGACAAGGAGGAGAATGTTGGACTGTAGACAGGAAATAGTATATGAGACAAGGAGGAGAATGTTCGGCTGTAGACAGGAAATAGTAGATGAGACAAGGAGGAGAATGTTCGGTTGTAGACAGGAAATAGTAGATGAGACAAGGAGGAGAATGTTCGGCTGTAGACAGGAAATAGTAGATGAGACAAGGAGGAGAATGTTCGGCTGTATACAGGAAATAGTAGATGAGACAAGGAGGAGAATGTTCGGCTGTAGACATGAAATAGTAGATGAGACAAGGAGGAGAATGTTGGACTGTAGACAGGAAATAGTATATGAGACAAGGAGGAGAATGTTCGGCTGTAGACAGGAAATAGTAGATGAGACAAGGAGGAGAATGTTCGGTTGTAGACAGGAAATAGTAGATGAGACAAGGAGGAGAATGTTCGGCTGTAG